TTAATTGTGTTTTTACCTTGAACATATCTCCCAGTACGGCTTGTCTCATACAGCGGATGGAGTTAGAGATGCTCGTACCTGAGAGAAGACTATCGGGGAGTAAAACCAGGAAGCCCTGCTCTCTGTCCACTACCAGGGATCCACCACCAGAGCGGCCCTCTAGATGCACCACATCACCACAACAAACAGGCGTCATCTCCCTGGAAATACCAAAGGAATGACCGTTTTATACCGTTATGAGACAAAGGACACACAAACATGTGAACTGTAAAGGAACACGGACAATGACGGACAATTCTGTGCGACCACCACTAATCTGGGCGTTGTGGATAAAAGTTTGACGTATACCACGATGAAAATAGGTAACTGAATAACAATGTTAAGAACAGAGGTGCTCACCATCCGTCTCTTAACAGACACGTTTCAGTTGGATGGAAGGATTTGGAGCACGAGACGGTCAGTGTTTTGAGGCCAGGCCTCTCGTCCACATCTAAAACCCAGTAGCGGTTGTTGGGACCTCCGCAAAGGATCACATGGTCCGGCACCTTCCTGTACGAACGCAGAGAACGTCATATAGGAATGTGTTACTTTCAATCAGCTGCCATGCTGCATTTCTAAAAATCAGAAATGAATGCAAACACTAGTTTACATTCAAGAATGAGTTCAACTCATTGGTTCTTAAGTCAAGTGAATCTTTCCCCGTCTACTATTGACATGAGCTATTTTACCATCACCTGACCTAATCAAACTGTGCAGCCAAATCCTCCAAAGCTGTGTGTTCATGCGTCTCTCACCGGGGTTTCTTTGATGTATCATCTGTGACTACAGCGTCACCCATCTGCTCTGCAAACCAGCTCTCGTCCAACACCCCCTCCACAGGACACGATGCCGTCGTTCCTTTATCTGCTTTTGTGTGGAAAACAAAATTGAGCGGGGAAAGAAAAAGGTTGTACAATAAAGCTGCATGTCTATTGTATTAATATATTATTAATGCCATGCTAACATGTAGTTTTTATATTAAAAAAAACAATACAATTATGTACATGTAGTAAGTGCCAATGAAAGTTCTAACCGAGTGTACCTCCAGCTCGCTGATCTGATGTCACATGCGCTCCAGTTTCACTTGATGGGGTCATTGCCGTTACTGTGGCTCTGGCCTCTGGTTCGCTTCTCTTAGTTGCAGCCGTTGTGGGTGTTTGAGCGCGAGGTTTGTGCGCGTGAGCAGTAAGAGCGCGCGTATCCTGCACCTGAGCAGCTTTCTGCTCGGTTATCCCTGTAAAACCACAATCTTTCGCGTCGTCATTTCTCTGTTCCGCAAAATCATCTTTGTTCTCATTGAAGACCACATCGACACCTCCGCTGTGACCCTCTGACCTCTCACGCTGGTCACCTAGCAAATGAGGAGTCTTCGAAACACCGATCAGGGGGCCCGCTACAGTCAGATCGCTACCCGAGGGGCAGTGCGCAGTTCTCTGAGCGTGCACATCGACATTCCTCCGTCTCTTGGCATCGTTGGAGTCTTGAGGGGGGCTGATGACGCGCTTTACCGAGCCAGAACATCCCTCTTCCCGCTTGGTTTTTCTTCCCTCCTGGGTCATAACTATCCGCGCGCTCTGCCCTCTGGAGCGGGGACTACGACAGATGGGGGACAGTTGGCAGAGCTCCTGCAGGCTCTCCTCGCTGCTGGGCTGGGGGCTCGGGCGACCTGGATTTCTGTAAGACGACGGGGACGCCCCCCTGATCTGACTGGTGGGGGTCTCGGGCACAGAGAGAAGATCGGGCGAGGAGGGCAGGAAGTTTTCAAGGTCCCCAAGGACACTCCTCTTTAAGGGTGAACGGGATCCGAACGTGTGGGTTTCACCATCGTTGATTGGAGATTCAGTCCTTGCAAATGCCGTGCCGGTGGATTTTGGGGAAGTGGACAATGCCTAAAAACAGTCAAATGAGACATTACATTACTTAAAAATGAGTTACACCGTTTGTGCAAATAGAGAGATAAGAGAGAAATACAATATTGCAATGCCAACGGAAAAGTGCACAGAAATGTAAAAGGCTAGAAAAGAGACAAGCAAGTAAAAAGGAGATGATGATGAAGTAAATAAGATGAGTCAACCAGAAACACCCCTGAACGAAGCAACTTAAAGAGGTGTGTTGAGTTTAAAAGATAGAAGAAGAAAGTTCTGCTCACAAGAGCAAAACCAACAGCCCCATTAGAGAGAATCCTTTATCCTTCATTAGATTGTTATCCTTATTTGGTCATACGTTTTTTATTCTGGTCGAAACTATTATCCCCATTATATCACTTGACTTATGTTATTGTTATGTAATTCATTTTACCAAGTGAAATCAGCAGCGTGTATAATATAATAAATAAAACCAGCAGGAGGAATACAAAAAGACAAAGTACCTTTTGTTGGTTTTGAGAGGAAAAGTAGGTCGAGATGTTCTTCTGAGCCCACAGGTCAGCTGTCTGAAACCCCCGAGACAACATTACCAGCATTGTTCAACAAGACACCAAGTTGAAACAGAACCTCCCATTGGACATTTCCGACTTTAGGACTTTAGACTTTAGGACTTTAGAACAAGCTGGCCAGTAATAAACACCGGTTCATCGTAATATATTAAACCACACAATCACGAACTGCAGACGTAGTAAACGGTGTCAGGCTGCAACTTTAAACGTAGATGCGGATGATGAAAGGCTGGTCCGGTGACGTCACCGTTAACCTTCTCGCGATGTCGCTGCTCCGGTAGTCAGCTGAGTTTGGACAAACCTCGTGCACTCACCTTGTTTTTCTTTAGTTTGGTCCTGTTCATGGCGACGGACTAAACCACCACAGCTGCGTGTATTTATCACCGTTAAACGAGTTGTTAGCAATAACCGTTTTAACCGACCGTGTTGCCAACGGAGAGCTTGACGAGGGGAGCTTATTCCGCTTCGTTTGACACGGCTGTGCTTCTCCACTACCTGCGGTGTGGTGGTGCATCTAATTTCTTTAGTGCCGGGTTTCTTCCATGTTTAAATACTTTTCTTGCTGAAGGGCTCTTCCGAGCTGTAAGATGTGGCGCCAAAGTTCAGTTTCGCGCAGCGGAAATTACATCATTGCACTTCCGCCAAGACAAGAAAGCGAGAGACGCGGAAAAGTAGGTGAATTATTAATAAAGATAAAGAATAATAAAGAATTATTTCCACTTCTCGTATGTAGCAGTTTTAGGGATGATTTGGTCGTGTACACGTTTAAACAAGAAACCATTCGTAAAGAATGCATTACATTTATGCATCAAGGACAGTAATTTATATACTATTGTTATCATTTTATATTTTATGTGTTTAATGTAATGATGCAGTCATGCCTTTAAATACGTTTTTTGTTTATTCGTGTCTGTTTAACTCAATATGCATCCATATAGATGTTTGGACTTCCAGAATCACCCTGGTAGACTAAGCCACAACAAAGGGCAGCTCTGTACTCATAGGCTACTCAGTTGACCCTTAACTATGCCACAAAATGCATTTTGCATGATAAAAACGGACATAGTAGATTTCCTTGAAGCCAGTATTAATTCAATTTCTGACGTTGTGAAGCAGCATAAATTTGGAATATCTTTTTTTTTAGATTAGATGATCACTTTATTGTCATTGCACAGTACAGGTACTGATGCAACCAAATGCAGTTTAGCATCTAACCAGATGTGCCAGAAGAAGAAAGCAGATAAAGTGCAGAGTATATACATGTGATAAATAAGGTTGAATTAGTTCACCCAGTGAATATCGCTGATAAATAAGTTCAACCCAGCATGATGGGTATTAGGAAATTATTGCAATATCATATGTTGGGCTGTTTAGAATCAGAATCAGAATTTAGGGTTGATATAAATCGTTTACTAACCTTATTGTTGGATTGCGGATTGTCATTAACCAACATTACCCTCTCCTAAAGTCTCTGTGCTCTCCCTCCCCACAGGCTTCTGTGGAGGGTGGTTCTATCTGATGGCGGTTGCCCCTGCAGTGGTCCTGCTGTGCGCCTGGCTTACTACTCACAATTACTTGAATCATTTCTGTCATAGGAATTGCATGTATTATACATTGTTCATTCTGTACACATAGCATCCAGTGTAGTCTGTCCATCCCGGGAGTGGGATCCCTCCTCTGACGTTCTTCCTAAGATTTCTTCCCTTTTTTTTCCCTCTTGAAAGTTTTTTTTTCATTTTTTGGGGAGTTTTTCCTGTGCCGATGGTGGGTTTCGGGACAGAGGATGTCGTATGTGTACAGACTGTAAAGCCCTCTGAGGCAAATTTGTAATTTGCAATTTTGGGCTGTACAAAATTAATTGAATTGAATTGTCTTTGTCTTGTATCATGAATAGATAGTATCTAAGGTGCTGTAGGAGGGTTGGCCTTTTCCTGGTTCCAAAGTTCTGGTCATATACTAAACATTGACGGTGTGATATGTTTGTGTTGCAGTTACACAATTCCTTATCTCTCAATTTACTAGTGTCAGTTAACCCTAACTAAACAAATACATGGTAAGATATATATTTTATGAAAAATGTATTTTTTTTCAAAGGAGCAGCAATTTAATGAATTCATCAAACTCCTACAATCCACTTCATAAGCATAACAATCATACGCAGGCTTGTTTGACTACACATCTTGTGATTTGAGTTTTTAGTCAATTAACTATTACAAACTATAACACATGTTTTAATTGTCTCAGCAGGTAAACTGAACGTATTGAAATGTAAACATTGGTTGTTTTTGCTCTATTCCTCCCCATTGTTTATTTCTTTAACATTAGAGTAAAAAGAATTTGAGGATTGCACTCAACCACATTTTTGTTATTTTTTTGTTACTCGTATTTTACAGTACAAAACTATATATCAAATAACCCGTTCATAAAGCAGCTCATTTGGCCAAAAAATGATCCAAAGCCAAATTAAAAATTAAAAACAACCCAAGAAATATTATTGAATATACATAAAAAAAGAATTGCAACCATACATAAGCAAACTATTTTTTTAATATAAAGATTTGTACAATTATACAACATTTATATACATATTTATGGTTGTTGATTAGCAGCACGCCTCCTAATGGGTCTTTACAAAATGTTTTTATTTCATACAATTATCCTTTTTAATGTGATTCCTTGTCAACTCCGTATGGGATATTATCAAATAAATACCACAAAGAAGCACATCTTATAACCTCTAGAGACGCTCCACTGCATGAGTCTTCATATGAATAAGTAAATGGGAGCGTCGAATGAATTTCTTCCCACAAGAGGAGCAACTATACGGCCTCTCCCCTGAATGAGTCTTCGTGTGGCGTGTTAAATTAGACTGAGCGCTGAATCTCATCCTGCATACAGTGCAAACGTAAGGTTTCTCACCAGTGTGGATAATAGTGTGCTTGATGAGATCCGCTTTCTCTCTAAAACTTTTACCACAGTCGGCGCAGCTGTGAGGTTTCTCTCCCGTGTGGATCCGTATGTGCGCGTTCATGTTTCCCACTTGTGTGAAGCCTCTGCCACAAAAACTACACGTGTGTGGTTTCTTTCCAGAGTGAGAATTCATGTGAGTGTGTAGATAGGAGCGCTGGATGAAGCTTTTATCACAAACGCCGCAACTGTAAGGTTTCTCTCCCGTGTGCGTCTTCATGTGGCGAGTTAGAATGGATTTAATCCGGAAGTTCTTGTTGCAAATGCTGCAGGTGTGCGGCCTGTCTGCTGTCTCGTCACCACCTCGCCAGGGTTTCTTCCTGTTTCCACCGGAGTCAAATCCTCCACAGACTCTCCCTGCATCGTCACTTACTTCACTCATCTGGCAGTCCCTGGTTGGCTCTGATGCATCACGGACTTCTTTATCGGGTTCTGATTTCAACTGTGCGTGGGAGCTGGTGGGCTCCGCATTCTCTGCAGCCTCAGGGTTATCGTGTGGGAACTGTTGTGCATTGTCATCCGGCCTTTTGCATATAAATGATATAGAGTCTTTTGTGTCCGCTTCCTCCTGCTGGTTGTGAACTGCCTGAGCTCTCCACAGCTCTCGCTGCTCCCCTTCAATCCGAGGGGGCTCCTGGTCATCCTCACACAGGTCAGTCTTCTTATCAAAGGGACATTGCTCAGAGGGAGGGGAAGAGGTCTTCTTCTCGGACAGAGAGCTGCACAGAGCCTGAATAGTAACACACATGAGAAAGAAAAAAAGCCTCAACAAAGATGTTTTGTGGTACACTTTGCCATTGACAGACATTTTGCACCCCCCCCCCCCTCTCTGGGGATGCAAAATGGCGCTGCTTGCTGTCTCCTGTAACGAATATTTAAGGAGTGGCCCGGCTGAAGGTTTTTCTTCTCTGATGTAATCGGGTTTCTATCCAGAGACGTTTAGCTCACCTTTCCACCTGCCAGCCGGCTTTGTTGTTGGTCCACCTCCTGTTTTGACCGCAAAACGATCGCCTCATAGTCTCTGATGGTTGTCTCAAAGATACGGAATATTTCCTCAGCAGCGGCTTCCAGCCGCTCGTTCACCAGAGCTTTCAGCTGGTGCCTTTTGAGCATTTCCGCGGCGCACGGAGGGCGCACGGAGTCGGTGTCCTGACGCGCGCACCGGAGGCTGCGCGCAGGTTGCCAGATGGAGAGAACCAAACGGTCCAAAATGACACTCACTCATTGACTCCCTCCTTGTGCGTTTGCAACAAATACGCGTGTAACACACCCGAGTTGAATACATTTACTAACCAAGTATTTATTCGGGTATGTAACGTTAAATTAATAGCAATAATAAAGTGTGTGTGAGATAAATAAGAATAGTGTGTTTTTAAGGTTGGTTGTGGTGTTTTGGCACGCGGGCTGACAGCCTCGCTATTCAAACATGATTTAGTAAGTAAGAAAGTGATGATCTGTGAGGGTGACGAGCGGATGGAGAATCCTAATAAACGGACGTTGCCGTTTATTAGGATGGTGCCTCCGCGTGATGGAGCTCCGCTGCCACCCGCTGGCCAAGGACACCGAAACCTCAACATCCAACCATTTCTAATAGGTAGGCTATTTGTGCGCCATTTCAACAAGGATTCTGTTTGCGTGGATATTTACGTTGCATTTTAAATAAATAAAAAAAAGTTTAAAAAAGCCAGAAACTTCATCACATTGAAGTGTTTAATGTTTTAAAAACGACTTACTTATAATAATAATAAAAAGTTGCCCGTCTAAATAAAACCGATTGGTAGTTGTTGACAATCACATCCAGTTAAACCTACGGTCTCTGAATTTATTGACACAAAAGCAAACGCTGATATTATTGTGAATTATATTTGCTTCAGCTGCATGAAAGTACTGATATTTTTCAAGATAAATTAAGAGAACAGGGTACGATAATGTAACAATCACGGACATTTCCAGTAATTGGATACATATCTTTAGTCTTTATTTTGACGCTTTGTTTGTCTTTTTATACTCTTTCTCAATCCTCAAATGGGTTGCTCCCATAGACATATATAAAAGTTATATGTCCTTTATATATGTCTATGGTTGCTCCACTCAAAGCTTCAGTTTTCTGCATTTCTGATGATCATTTTTTCGAAATGTGAAAGTAGTTGCATTGATTAATTTCTGTAAATGATTTCTCTGATACACACACGCAACACATTTTCTTTTTTAATTCATTATTCATCTATTTAACTTATTTTCTTTTACATTTTACACATCATATTTTGTTTTAGATCTTTATTTAAGCTTGTTCCTTTTGGTCTCAGCCGGGCTTTTGAAAAATACCAGAGACACCATTCATGGTATATTGTTAGTTTAAACGTGAGGATTTTCTTCCTATGTTTCAGTGTGGTCACTCAGACAATAAAACACTAGTGGGGGCCCTGCCACACAAACACTAGTGACAGATGCTGCCATACCAGCACCTCCGCACAGACCCCACACCACACGGTCCAACAGTAAACCAGAGTGTTGACATCTGGTCTGTGTCATCGGCGTCAAGAGTGAAAATAAACCTTTACAAAGTGGCTTAAGGTCACAGGTGGCTCTTTTGGGAGTATTTAGTTCACATTCTGACATGGTGTCCTGTGTGTTTACAATGTAAGCAAGTGCAATAGATAGAATAAGAAATAAAATAAAGAAGATAGTACTTCAGCCTTGCATTATAATATCAGTATTTTTTGGGGCAGCCAAATAGAAACAAAACAAAAATTAAATAAATGTTGGTCTACCAGAAGAATAAATCTCGATGAAACAAAATATGTCAGCTTGCTCGGCCTCTGTAATCTGCAATCACCACCTTCTGGTGACACTGTGACATTGCTTGTAAGCTACAGTTACCAGAGCTTTTTGTTTGAAATATTTCCATGCTTGCAGGGTCCGGCTGTGACTGAAACATGCAGAGCAGTAACATCAAGATGTCCTTTGCTTTTACGCTTCCTAGTTTGTTTTATTATTGTCAACATGAGAAAGACAACATCTTAAGTGTCACTATTAAGCCTTTTAGGTGTTAGGTGTCTACACAGGGAACCATCTGGAATACTAAGAAGGGCCGATATCTTTAGTTTAGTTCAAGAGTTCAAGTGCTGTTTCATATATTATTTTGGAACTGATAGCAGCTCCCAGTCTCAGATGAGCCCAATTAATTAATGCAGAGTAAAAAATAATGCTCATTTTCCACAAAGCTTCAATCGCTGCAAAGAAAATTGTTTTTACAATCAATGTAAAACTAAGAGAATTAATTGGGAAGTGAAATAACTGATTCCTAGTTTTACACAATTAAATCATACTTTACTAATTAAGTTTGACATGTAGATTGCATATTTAAAGTCTATTGACAGAAATTTGCTGCAAAACTGTCCCTGCTGCAGAGACTTGTGTCTTGCCAAATAGTGGGAGAAGCACAATCAGGAGTCTCTGCTACAAGCCGGCGTTAAACCGCCTCATGCATTAATCATCGAGCTGCAGCCTTGTGAACCTGGAAGATGACAGTCGGTAAACTGCGGTCTGCTGCATATTACACATTCAGGTCCAGTCACTCAGTGGACTCATTCATTCATGCACTTATGCCACTTGTTTGTACTTTTCATTAGGTCTTCATTACAGGCCTTAAAGATGTATCTGCCGTCAACACTTTTCACAAAGGTCAAAGCCAAACTAGAGAATGAAAGCAAGAAAAGTGGGTTGCAAGGAGGAGAAAAATAGACACAATTGGATAACAGGCACATTAGCATCATGCATTTAACAAAGCCTGACTCAATTGACCTTTGGATATACATATTAATGATTTGGCTATTTAATACGCAGTCATGTAGCTCATTAGGAACTCCGCTAACTTCAACGAAGACTAAAGTTTCACAGGAGCATCTCCTAATTACATGGGCAAAAAATAAAGTTCTTTGTTTTCACCTCACAAGTAAAACAGCTTTATTTCCTCTCAGTTTTTGGTTAACTTATCAAAGGTAGAATGTGTTGCATTTGGGAATCCACTGGCAGAAATTGAATGTTACATCTTACTTTAAGGAATAAAAACCTTTTTTACTAACTCAATTTTAATTTAACACAGGTTTAATCAATTGCATTTTCTCTGATACAATCGACACCTGGAATTCATCAAAAAATGCATATTTTAAGCCAATCTAAACAAGTTGGAAAAGAAAAATATAAACCATGTGTTCCCTGCCAGCTGGTGTTTTACAAATGTTCTCTAGTCAATTACTTCTCTGTGAAGCATACAGCATTTCATGGCTGATTTACACCTTAGACAGAACACATATAACTTAATAACTCCGCCTCCTTTGCCCGTGCTGCTTTATGTTGGTCGCCCCTTTGCATCTTTTTATGGAGCCTTATTGCTAAATGAAGAAATACAGTGGTAATTATTCCATTTAGTAAATGAGTTATTTGTACTGAAGAGCATACAGTTCCACCTCTTCACATTCTTCCTAATAGTTGATCACTGAGCAGCTCCACCAGCCCAGGTGGAAGGTTTTTGTTAGTTGATTCATCAAGGTTGAACTGGTGAGGTCACAGCCCTTTGCGAGCACAAATAAGATCAACAGCAAACAGTTTGGATTGTTTTATAAAAACTAAGCAGATAACTTGTTCTATGTTTAACTAGATCAACACCATAAAGCCACGTTCTGCACTCAGGACTTAAATTACCTGTAGGTGTGTGTGTTCGTGGCTATTTGCATTTTAGTCTGGGGAGCAATTAGGGGTTAGGGGTCCTTGCTCAGGGACACTTCGACTTAGCACATGGGGCAGCTGGGACTCGAACCATCAACCTTGCGGTTTCCAGTGCCACGACGACTTCATCATTTCGTCATGGCGCTCATTGGTTCGTTGGTCACCCGAGTTACTAAATCTTCATTTGAAGTCTCACCGGAAAACTGTCTGAATCTATGAACTACATTTCAGTTTCCTTTACTGCACAATCATGTTAATGAGAGTGAAAACTAGATGATTTAAGATTATTAAGTGTTGACGGAATGTTTAAATATTAAGTAAAAACATCAGTTTTACCATTAAAAAAAATCCAATATAGAATTAGTTTTGTGTTTTCGGGACAGTTAAGTATTTGTTTGTATAGAAGTATTTCTGTTGTTAGTTTATTGTCTTAAATGCCATCACATCAGACTAAATGGGTCTCACATGATATTGCTGTGGTGGTGATTTGGGTGATTCATTCAGAACAGAGTGTCTCTCTCTGGTCTGATGAATGAATATCCAATGACTATGAAGTGAAGTGAAGTGAGGAGTATTCTAAAGTATAAACGTGGTCCACGTGGCACTGGAGGTGTAGCACAACTCTCAATCTATGTTTCTGCGGCTGTCTACACTGATTAATTAGCTTGGATTATTATGTTGTCCGGAACTAAATGCCAGCATCAGTTCCACTTTCTACCAGGTAATGAATGACCATCCGCCAACGCATCATTGTACACAGTTACATAGTGTGCGTGCATGCGTCTACAAAGAGGTAAAAGATTGACAAAGAGAATAAATCTTTTCCCGTAAAATTATACAAATTAATTTAATAATTATTAGAAAAATGTACCATGATTTATATGGTGAACGGCACTGTTAACGCATGGCGCCACCAGCCTCAAGCAGGCTTTGTCTGACAAGTTAACTTACATTTTAAAAATCCTTCCGTCAGCTCATATAATTGGAACCAGATCAATGGTTCTTTTTGAGCTAATGTACTCATTAGCTCTCTGATGACATTTATCAGGCACACTAATAGCCGACACCGCTATACTTCTATATTATAGGCAGTTAAATGTAAATGCACATTAACGACGTGCTTGGATTCGAGGAAGGGTCGGGAGGCGGCTCAATATGGAGATTAGAATATTTCACGCCATGTTCTGAAACAAAATAAAGGCATTACGTCAAATTAAAGATGAATTCCTATGCGTGTCGCCGTAGGTTTGTGCTCCTCCTTTTTAAAGGCAATCCGCTTTTTGAGAAATATCCGACTTTCATTAAAGCATTCACTGAATTTTCAGATTGAAATCATATTGCACAATTCCAATGAGTAAGAAATGGTGAGAACTGCTTAACTCCCATTGCACTGGCTCTGATTTAAAATGAGCTCTTTGGCATTGTCAAGTGGAGAATGCCTTTAATTCAACTTTGTAGATATTCAAGGACTGTGAACTTCATTCAAGCAGTCCACTGGGTAAAGAAGTGGGAGGAAACATTGTGTGCGTTGACAGCTTGGTGGTTCCAAATGTTGCTGGTAGAATATCGCTTGTGTGACAGTTTTCTCAGAGTCTGTTAGGTTAAAAAGTTTGACAGGGATGATAAAAACACAAGAGATGATCTCCCCTCTCCAGACGGCTGCTGTGCTGAGAAAAGGTGTGAAATCCTCTCCACTGGGAGATTAGTTTGTTTATATGTATAAAAGATTTCCTGATATTCTTTTTGCTTCCATCACTTCCATGAGATAACTAATGAGTTTGAGAGAAGTCAATATAATCAAACAGGAAACAAAAACCATTACTCAAATCAGGCCTGGACTAATAAGAGACAATCAAAAGTAAAGCATATACGTAGAGTAGAAGTAAAATGGCTAAAAATCATAGCAAAGTGATGCGGAGGTGAGCCCTTTTCTGCATGTTAATCTTAGGGAATCAAATTCTCACCTACATTGGAATGGAAGTGAATGGTTAACGGAGTTAAAGTATGCGCCTCTCTATAAGAGTTTAAGGTAAATTATTTTCATATTTGAATGCTTTTGCATGAAATGTTTAGATAGAACGTGTTCAACTCAGTAGGAAGCCGGTTTTAAAATATACTGTACACAGCACTGCATCCGCCATCATTTATTAAACAGCCACCAACCCCAAAAATATCCCTGCACAGGAAGATCCGTTCAGTGCAACAGTCAACTAAAAGATCAAACACCAACCAGTATATAATCATTATATTTTAGAACCATAACCAGGCAACACAACTTGACAACACATTTCTTTCAATACATGGTGGTTTTGTGCCGATCAATGAACTGACACCAACATTTAAAACGCATTATGCGATTGCCAGTAAGGTTCCACCCCCCCCGTCCTGAATGCGTGCACCTGTATATGGCACATGACAAACAACGTGCACCCGGAACATAGAATATGAACATGCTCACAACTACATTCCTGTGACCGTAGTAAGGACAGCTACAGAAAGGTCATAGTCACTCAAATGTTATTAGTCATTCACTTGTGTACGTTTGTTTTCACAGAAATGCACTAACAAAAAAAAAAAAAAACCACCACTTTATTTCATGTTGGTGTGTATTCTGGACATGTGACCATTGGCACACACTATGTCACAAAGCCCACTCTTCTGCATGCCAAATGATCCATTTCACAGCCTTTGCAGTTGTGTGGCATGTTATTAGGTAGTTGGATAGTCTGTCTGTCTGTCTGTCTGTCTGTCCACCCCCCACATTGCAGAGCCCCATACCACTTGGCCTCTGATTGCAACAACAAATAAACTGGCCAAATGATTAGGATATTACCTTTTCACAGAGTGGGCAGCAGTTGTTGAGCCGGACACAGCATGGAGGTTCACTTAGCACTTCAGAGGAGTCATAGAATTAATTAATAATTGAAAAGAATTGTTTATTCTCAATGTATTTCCAGTCCTACACACAGGATGAAAGAAAGCTACTTCGCCGGTGGTTTTATAGAGAAGCGGGGCAATGCTTTAATTGGTTGCAAAAAAAAAAAAGTAATGAACAAATGTTTACCAGTATACAAAAAAGGGTCAGTGTTGTATATTGTGGTTGTATGATTGAGCTGAACAAACTAAATTTCATATTCTGATAAAAGGAGCAAAAGGTTGTATTTGTTTCTGCATTTATCCCTGAGACTGCGTGCAGCTAAAAGTCAGTAAAATATGAATGAGCTACCATCCCTCACCCTTGCTTGCATATTTGAATTGTAAGAGTCATAAACATTTAACACATCAATGCGCCCTTCAAACCTTTTTGTGTTGGATACATCCAGTAAGTTTACAGTAATATTGAAGGAATACTTCAAGTATCAGTATTCAGTATCAAACTCAATTTGGGTGCACAGCATTTCCTTCTGGTCAAAGGTCTGCAGTCCGTTTGCTGTGAATTGTTAGTCACCTCCATTAGATCTCCGGCATACATCTAAACCATTTAGCCACATGAGGCTGCTCTTTGTGGACTCTTTCATCCGCACTCGAGTCCAGCAGGTCCATGTAGTGACCGTACTCACTGATGGCGTCTTCAACGCGAGTCATGTACAGCCAGCTGACTACCACACCGAAGAACTGGAGACAGAAGGAGACAAGGGGAAGCTCAGTATAGGAAGGCAGGTCACCATTGATCGCCTTCCATTAGTCTTAAATGTCCCGTTCTTTCTGTTTGCTGTGTCTGAATCCAGTCTACATTAGACATGAGGAAGACGCGTAAGAGGATGAATCACTTTTGGACAAATGAGATGCACTTTCCTCGGTATTATTTACATACATTACATGAGGTAAAGAAACTGTAAAACATATCCTCAATTGTCGCTCCGAACCAATATAAGGAAAAAAGGGCACAACAATTGGTGCACAAATTGACCTCAAGGAATCTCTTCCTTTACAGCGTCTGTTTCCTAAACTCACAGCTCAGTGAAATACACTTTAAAGTCGAGCACAATCCATATTCGTAGCTGTGAGTGGTTGTTTTTTATACCAGATGTGTCCAGATCTATAAGAGTTAAAACATGTAAGCGATGTGTGTGTGTGTGTGTACCTGCGGCAGTAGGATCCCTAATAGGAGTCCAGCCATGATCTTGTAGTTGTCCATCAGCCAGATGAAGAAAGCGTCAGTGCAGCCTCGGATATGGATGATTTCGATCAATTCCAAACGCTGCAAGACACCAATTGCTTGTTACTGTTATTTTTGTTTTCACAGTTAGTGGATACAGTGAAGGACTTTGTTATTGAGTCGTGTCACTGGTTTAGTGAATTACATGCATCTTAGACCAGCACCACATCTTTCCATATTGGGACTGAAAGTCTTACAATTCAACAAGTCAATCTTTGCAATCTTACCGTTTTTTCCAACACCTTGTACCCACACATAGTGTTGGCCACTTCATTGGGCTGAAGAGAAGAGAAGCAGAGAGAAGAGATCAAGTTAAGTGGTAGAACTAAGACGTAAGATACAGACGGCGGCCCGTGAAGAGGAATCGACAGCAGACAGAAGAAGGCGAGGTTGTAGTTGACCTTCAACATTAGTGGTGAAAATGTATGACAAAATACACAAAATGACACACGTAACGAACCACTTGTACACACAAGAGTCCTGAACATGAAGTGTGTGCATGTATGTGCGTGTGTGTATAAACTAAAGTGCGTCTCCCGTGACATTGAGTCGGTGGTTTTCCATATTTAAATATTCAGATGGCTTCATATATTCAAATGAGATGAGACGAACTGAAAATCTCTCTTGGCCGTCTGGCAGAGGAAGACGAGGGGGATTAGAACACTTTTAAGTCAACATACACATTTTATCATCTGGATTTAATAAAGAAATTGGTTTTGGATTTTTGTGCTTGATCAAGTTGGAGCAAATTACTTCTGTATTAATATGAACATACAGGCCTGCAATTCCATCCATAAATACAAATATTATAGAGTAGAAAACTACACTTTAGACGGTTGGGACGATCGTAATAAATGATGGGTTATGCTTGAGGAATGGGTGTGAGCCGAAATATAACAGCTTATGTCATAATATGGATGAAACAATACGTTTGTTAAGCTCAATTTTAAGCCTTCATCAGAATGATTACACAATTGATGGACAAAAAGTCACCATTTCAATCTTAAATTGACATTAAATAGACCACATTTTAAAGACAGGAGTGCAGGAAATGTTAAAATGACAGTCCTTTTTAACATTATAGTTTAATATATGAACTATTACAGTAAAAATATGCCGGCTGACTCAATGTCTTCTCTACAGTTTTATGTAATGTGCCATTGCAATAACATTTTATACCATAACAGAAACAACAAATAAACCTGTGAAAGCCCAAACCGGAAACAAAGGGATGACATTGAATTGCAAAGCAGAAGAGAATATAAATGTGTCAGAAAACACACAAATAATGAAGGAGTAAAAAAAAAAAAGCAGCAGTAGTTTCACGAGTCCAGTTATGAGACAGTCAATCAAGCTATTGTCTGTTTCACTAAAAAGTGTTTCTTTGTTCTCTTTCTCTACAAACTCAGTGTAGGTGTTTAAATGAAACGGTGCACAGAAAGAAAATGGCCTACGGGGGTGTGTGGGAAAGGAAAGGCATAATCACCATCACAAGATGTATTTTAAAAACACAACTCCACACTCTTAAAGCCTTTACAGTAATGATATACAAACTGAAACGAGTGTTTGGGGATTCACAGATCGTAAATAAATACAACCAGGAACGATGACATGTTTGCTCGATCCAGACAAATGAGGTATTATTAAAAGATGCTGGGATCCATCGCTGATCTTCAACACTAATTAACATGCATATAGACACTTTCTCAGCTCAGGATGAATTGGCAGCAAAGCAATGTAGCAACAATAAACTGAGAGCAACTTGTATTCCAAATATTGGCCCTTTGCAATTGTTGCGTGATCCCCAGTCCGTCTTTAATACCAGAGCGCAACAGTAACAGCCGTTTCAATACTTGTTAAAGCAATGAAAAGAGTTCTACTCACCTTAGTAGTAATGCAGCAGGTATACGGGACACCGCAGGCCGATGGACTCAGTGCAGAACAGTTGTGGTACATGTTGACTGACCAGTCCGTATACTCTTGACCCCCGCAGCATTTAAACTGCGGGAAACGAGAAATAATAAAGATAAATGCCCAAAATTGGAAGGTGGAGGAATAAAAATGGCATGGAATTAGGAGTCTGCACATTGTTAGTAATGACCAAAAATAAGACAAACATAGGAAGAGAAAACAAGCTAAGAAAAGATATGTAAAGCACATTAATGATTAAAAGGAACGCTGCTTAAATGCAGCTCCAAACATATTCCTTTTTAGTTTTATCTCAACCAGGTCAAAATGGTTTGCATGTAAAATACACTTGTAATGCCTCCGTTCAGTCATTTCTATTTGATTTGCACGGTCACCTAGTAGCTGGGGTACGCAGAAAACCTGAAAAACACACTGTTTGCTCTGCTTTTCACTGAGACAAATAGCTCATTTGGGAGTCGAAAATGGGAGATTCAGTCGGTAACAGAGGAGTAGAAAAGAGACGAGGGAGGGGATGAATAAATGAATACATAAGCTGCTCTTTGCCAGGCCGTGGATCAGTATGCCGACGTGATGCCAGTTATGTCCTCTCTTCATCGGCTGACTCCACAGAGCGCCGGGTAAGGACCCCCACGAGGGTCACGGGGAGGCAAAGCAACTCGGATGTGATTAATGTCTGTGTCAAGTTCAGTCCAAAAACATTAGCCTATAACTTCACGATGAGTTGTAAGATTAGTAGGTGCCACTGTATCATAAATACAATCCAACAAGTCAGTAAATCTCTGAGAAACTTGATCGGGAGGTTTGGTATCCTCACCAGACAGACTTGATAGAGGAATGAGACTATGGAGACTTTTTGTCATTTGCAAATTGCTAACATGATAACAACAATTTCTTTACTGCAGTTATTGTATAATATAACACAAATAAAGCTAAATGCTTTGGATTTCATCGGTTTCTTAATCAAAAAACAATTTAAATCCCAAACTTGTGTCACAGATGAGCCTTTTCCAATTTATTTTCATTTCCTTGGTATTTTTATTTTATTTCTAATAGTCTGTTGGATGAAAACAAATCTCCAGAGGTCAATTACTTTGAGACTGTAATGAGTCAGTTGTGTCTGACTGAGTAACGGATTTTAACTGCTAACTGACGGATGAGGCTGTTCCCTGGCTGACTGAGTGACTAACTGGGTGGCTAATTGAAGAGCTCATTTCTCAGTCTTATCAGGTGCTACCTGCATTTAGTTATATTTGATAATCACTAATATTGCACCCATGCAGATATTTTGCAATATTTAATGCCTGGAACAGTGTCCCTTTCACATCTTTTTACAAATAGTGGAGAGACAATGGAAAGATGAATAGCAGAATCTTGACTCCTTCCTTCAGAGTCTTCTGTTTTTTTCTTTTTTAGGTTTAACACAAACACAAACAAACAATTGAGCCGATCACTGCGCCATAACCCCTTTATATTAAAGTGTATTCTTTAAATGCACTATCGCCTGTCATGGTCCTTACTTTAAATTAAACTCTGGACCCCAGGACGATTAACACGGAGCCACGGCGTAAGCTGATGGGAACACAGTTAAAAAAAATTCCTTCATATCACGATTGCACAGATGGCCTTGCCTTGCTTTTAAACAAATTACCACTACTGACCTTACTTTTTTGGCAAAATACACTGTAGTCCCAGAAAGGTAATCAGCATGTACAGCGATGTGTCAGCTGGGTTAGGGAGCTTAACACAGCGCTGAAAGAACCTTTATCACAGTAAATGATAACGTTAACATCAACATTGACTTAAAAAAAAAAAAAAAAGAGAATATGTTCTTAATGTCCTTTCAGAAAATAAATGTCATTGTAAAGAATCCACAAAAACGGCAGAATGTTCGAGAATCAATGCCTGTAATACACTGAACTTGTTTCATGAGTTTTCTCTGAGCATGAAGCATTCAGATCTCTCAGGTAATCATGCAGTGAACTAAGCGCACACAGAATAAAGATCCAGATGTGGTAAAATTGTCAATATCTATGGTAAATACATCGGTCGGTTTTCCGTTTGATGTAATTTATCATTATTTTCATATACACATGATACTTCTTTCGGTTTTTCATTTTAATGTATTCCACTTATATTGAAATGTGATATTTAAATAAAAATTGCTTTGCCTTATGCCACCTGTGATGGATCCATAATGAACACATAAATACGCATGACCGCTTTCGCTCAGGAAACAAACTCAATGTCTGCCCAATTGACTGCATGGCTCGGCTGTCACTGCTGCAAACAAAAGTCTTGAGTTGCTTGTATTCCCTCTGATGAAATGGAAAACGACAGCTTCTTGAAATAACACATCACAGTACCTGATCATATTAGTCTTTTCATTAACCAGGTAATGCAATTGTAGTGCAAAAAAGGGCCTTCAGGGTCTTTGCCAGCACTAAAGACACTGGCATGGGTGGTATATGTCACATGTCCGTCAGAATACGTACAAAGGATCAGCTTGAAATTAACTTTATACGGGATATAACACGACCTGCCACTAATCCAAAGGGATTTTTTCCTCTCATTTAGCATCTTTCCTATGGGAACAAAGAGCCTGTAGGCGGGCATAATGATTGACGTGGAGGCTAGCTGATCCAGGTTCAGTTGAAGCCCGCACCCTTTTCTTCTTAAAGGCAAAACCACAGTATGTTTGGGTGTTTAGTGGCTGGTATGGCCACAAGGCTTATTAGCAATGAACAGAATTATCAGGAGAAACACGTGTGAGTGAGTGAGTGAGACACAGAGAGAGGAGAGTTTGTGTCTTGAAGGGTTACATGTTTTACTGCGATTTAATTTAAGACCTAAAGAAAAACACTTGGCAGAATTAATCTACATCACCGCATGGTAAGTCTCAATCTTCAATAAGGTTTTTTTTGTTTTTTTTCATCCAAGTACTCCAGGAAAACACTTAAATCTCCCCTATAGGAAGAGACGGGAGCAAACTGGCAGTTTTGCAACGTGACGGAAAAGGGATATTGGGGGTAAAAAAAGCTTTACTTTGCTGCTGCCAAATGGCTGTCCACCATTACTGCGGCACTGTTTGTTGTCTGCAGAGCAAACGGATCCAAGTGCAAAGATCTTCAAGAGGTCACATCACAGGATAAACATTAAAACTGCCGCCAAAGCAACAGCGCCTTCTTTTGTTTGAGTGATGATCAAGTAGAACTACTTTTCGAGGTAATACACCATTCAGTTCACACAATATTGAGACTGTTGCCTGGATGGCATGCCATAATAGTATTTTTGACTTCAAATTTGAACGGCAAATGTATTTTTTGGGATATGGCTCCAGCAGCATTTACTCTACCTGGCAGCACTGAAACGACGGACAACAGATGGCAGAAACTCTTGAACAAAAGGCACCGTCACACCTTCAAAACCCAGGTACTTCTTAGTAATTAGTATTCCATTCTAATTAGTGCTGCTGCCAAAGCGCTCTATTGCACCCTGGTGCAGAACGAACAAACAAGCAGACAGAAACTGCAGGAAAAGGTGAGTCTCTGGTGGGTGGTGAAAGTAATCTAACACAATCTTCCTGGATGGAAGTCAATCATTGAAAAGCTGAACTGTTCCATTGTGAAGGGACGCAAACCGAGGCAGGTGCTTGCTAAACAACCAAATTACCTTCCACACAACATTAACCAACTGTTGGGCCCTCAAGCAGCCAAAATATCATTCAGTTGAGACACAATCCTGCTCCATTGGTACCGGTCACGCCAAACATCTCCTAACACGATGTGGCATGACGGAAAATGCAAAATGACGGACAACTTGTCTTTCCTCTTCTGTTAATAGGTGGATTTTGCTGCAGGCTGCTTCTTTATTTCTCTGTGCGACTGTGCATCCCACGTAACTTGCTATGATAATCCAAGATCACTTCAAACCCTGACTCGAGTTCTGTCGTGTTAAACAGGTGTTTTGTTTTGCAGTACATATTTGAAAAACTCATTTGGACCATTCAATCTTGTCAGATAACGGAAAACAAGGACAGAAGCTCACCCTCTTCTGTACAAAGTCCATGATGTTTTTGAAGTCCAGGTCATCATAGTAGTTCACTATGCCTTTCCTGATGTTCTTGTTCACCAAACCCACAGTCTGCGATGGAGAAAAAAAAAAAAAAAAACAGTAACAGTTTGTGTGTGTTAACGGGATAAAGGACGGCATGTTTCCGCATTCGTGTGGTTTCCACGACTCAACTGATCTACAATGAACGTGCGAGACAGGAAGCTCTGCGAACGATCTGCTTTCATTAGTCAAGGTGACTGATCCACTGAACTGGAATATTAAGATGAGACAGTTTGACAGCTCACATCTGTCAGTCACAATCTGGAGCAGCACGGTCATTTTAGGTTAATGCATTAGTCCATCCGGAACCTAGAATAAATATTTGAGACTACACCAAGTATGTGCACCAAGAGCTTTTCGTTTAGGGAACTAATCATTTATTCCACTTCTCTCTCTGTTTGGGATACGTTAGTCTTATTTTTACTTCATCAGAATGAGAAGATAAAGACTTTGATGAGGGTTTCCTTTGAGACGGAAGGCACTGGAACATTGTCAAATAAGGCGCTCTAGGCTAATGTGTCATAAGCATTTTTAAACACATGTTCATGGAAATGAGACACCGGAAATAAAAACCCATCTTTTATGAAATCCACTCATAGGGGAAAGAAACGGAAATCTTACTCAAATGCACTGCAATTGCAATTCTAATCTCAATGTAAATGATACAGTGAAATAAAGAAGTGCCATTTTAGAAGCTCAGATTCTAATACATTTGAAATAAAATTGCCATTAACACATTGAAATGTACAATCATTACGTGGATGATTCACTGACGTGAACATTAAATGCACCACAAAATATTATTGAAAAATAAATATTCAGACAGGCCATTAAGATGTTTACTGTCAAGTCACGTAAATGAGATGATTGAAACGATTAAGGAAAAGGAAAAAATAATATATACATTTCCCCACAGAACCACATGAAGATATTTATTATTGTCAAGAAGAATGATAATAAACAAACATCTCCGTAGAGGACTTAATGTGCATCAGCACTCACCTCCAGAGAATTTCAGCTCGAATGATGTAAAATGTATTCTGCTACTTTGGGAAGATGGTTTAATTCAATTTAACGGTGAATTTTTCTCATGATGTACAGTATTTACAACATCAGTTTATTGTCGTATCAATCATTGGTTGTTAACCTGTTCCACCGGTACGTGTTTCTAAATGTCCGGTTATTGACCAGCACTGTCGAGCGCTCACCTGATGGCGGAACGCCAGCGCCAGAATTCCTCCGAGCAGCTCCAGAATCAAACACACAGCCAGGGTGTACATGAACTGCAACCCAACGGACCCAGGAGAAAGGAATAGTCATTGTACAAATGTGTAATCATTTACAGACGGAAGTAAACGTGCTCTACGTTTATCCTCTTCACGAGTTGAATAAAAAGGCTCTAAGTGCACAACTCACAACTTTCAGCAGGGTTAGATTATCCCTCAGTGAACCCACGAGCCCCACAAGCGAAACGATAAACATGATGATTCCCAGGAGGATCAGGATTATAGCCGGGGCCAAAAACACTCCCTCCAGCGTCTTGTAGCGTTGCCTCTCCACCTCTGCGTAGATGCCAATGGCCAAGATGAAGCCGCCTATCAACTGGAAAAAAACAGTAGTAAGGAAGCTTTATTCGTTGGTTAAAACAAGCGGGTTTCTGATCAACAAAAGCACGTTTTAATATGACGAAAAGAAGAAAATACTTTACTTTAATGTAAATACTTTACTTTACATTACCAATATGTGTAGAGAGAACAAATAGTACAAAATATAATTCATTGATTTTGTGGACAGGGACACGAAATCAGCACAAACCTCTTTTTTCAAGATAAAAATATGTTACAAAAAGTTCGGCTTTGGCAAAAGAACTTTTAGGCAACAGAACCCCAGCGACCTTTTTGGGCAGGATGTGTCTGATGTGAGCGAATTGGTCGTTAACTTCGGGGAGCCCTATTTGATAAAAAGGACTTGGCTGAGGTGAGATTTCGGTTTGAAACTACAAAAAGATTTAAAACACAACCAAGCAGCAACATACAGTCCTGCTTGTCACTGAAGGATACATTACATCCACAGTCATTCATTCTGATCCTCCCTGAAGGTCAGTATAATTATTCAAGGAATTTGCTTCAGACGGACATTGTCGGCACTAACGAGACAGAGTCTTGATTCTCCAGTCAAATATAAATAGCAAACTACAGTGTTCAGTGTCTTCCTCGCCCCCTCTTCAGTGTGACATCATTATTCATCAAAGCTGCAGCCGCAATCTGCATTTTCTAGCATCTGGTAGGAGATAATTATGCCACAGCAACTGTCAGAGCCCACCAGGGACACCAGGAGAGAGAAGACAATCTTTGAGGGTCAGTTCACCCAAATGACAGCACTGACATTATCAGGTCACGCAGACAGTTTTGGAGGGGGTCACATTTGTGATGCTCACAGCATTTTAAACAATGTTTGGGGTAACTAAGGATAAAACAAGTACCTGGCTGTGAACAGAGCGGATGTTTACTGTAAGGGAGAATTGATTGGATGATACGTGACACCTCACTGGTAAAACATTGATCACAGGCCTCCAAACGCTGTCTGCCAAAATGCAAGAGGACTAACTGGAAAACTGCTGCTACGTATGATGTGAAGCCTTTTTGTCAACAGACCTTCCACTCATACACTCCCGTTTCATCACAGCTTGCTTCACTGTGTATCGTTGACGACGAATGTCTTACTTCCCTCGATCTTAAATGAGTCGTGAAGGCAGAAATAATGATTGTTAAAAGACTCATTTAGGTGAAACAGGCTATTTCTTCTGGTAAATGTATAATACAAAGCACTATACGAGAGTTTTCCTACGATGAGCTGCGAGCAAATCAAAAACTGAATAGGCCAATTACATTACCCGGATTCAATTACAGCCAAATGAGCAAACAAGCAAGTGTAGCACTGTGATGTTCTCAGACAGCTGAAGTAAATGGCCAAACATCAAGGACCCATTGATGGCAATATGACTTTAATTATCTTTGTATCCTTTATGCACTCAGGGAAAAAAAATTAAGCATTTAATCACCTGTAAGCTGCTAAACCCAATACATCAGTAACACAAACAATAAGAAAAAAGACTATTTAAAAGCAAACTAGTAACTAATTCAGACGTATGACCCTATTTCATAAAAAATGAATTGCTGACATCAAATAGGGGCCGAGGGGTAACACAGACATCAATGGTCAGACACTTTGTAAACAAGTAGACAGTTCTGTAGACATTTGTTTATCCAAACAACATTAATTGGAGGAGCAAATGAGCGCACACAAATTAGTTTTTTACCGGTAACCAGATTCAAGCGAATAGTCGACAGGCTTGCATGAGGATGTTGAGCAGGTGTAATGTTTACCGTGCCATAGAGTGTTGGTATGCGAATATTATTACTATTTTATTAGAATAAAGTAGTTGCCGTCACACTTGCAGCAGTGTGGTTATTATCACTCCAATCTACAGCTGCAGTTATCCAAAGGGGATTAAAAAAGGTTGAGTTGACCGTGACTCGCAATTATTCCTTTAAGCAAAGACGACATTCAAGAAAACACACACACACACACACACACACACACACACACACACACACACACACACACACACACACACACACACACACACACACACACACACACACACACACACACAGCTAATTGCAGTCTGCCCCCCCCACGGTTAATCTCCAGCCATCTCAAATACAAAAATGCCGGTGAACAAGAGGAGAGGAGGAAGGAGGAGGATTGTTGCGCCTGTAGTCGTCTGTGTCTTCCACGGGTCCAAAGCACTATTTATATTCCACCATAATGTCTTTTCCTTACAAGTCCCTGCTTGCTGTCTGTTATGAGATCTCCCTGCTGGCTCGTTGCCTCACAACCCCGAACACACTTTGGTTCAGTTAAGAGGAGCGAGGGGCACTCGGAGCCATACACAAACCCCGTCTAAATGTCCACAGATGACTTTGTGACAACATCGGGGCATCGGGCCACGGTGAGGTTGTATTATATAAAGCTACTCATACGGTCGCTGCTGAAACTCGCATGCACCTCTGAAACCAAACCGGCTACGAGCTGCAGACACGGAGCAAACGTCGTGACCCACAACACCGGTGTTTTGAGATGGAGAATAATTGGAGGTTGTCTTGACAATGTGCCCAGGATTTTTAATGAAGCAACCGGGGTTGGTGTTGATTCTGCAGAGATTTCAGGAAAAGCTGCTGGAATGTCAAGTACTAAATATGTGATGACGCTCTCACACAACAACCGTTGTTTTTCAGTCAGTAAGGGACAGAATTATCCCAAATTACACTGTGATTTTAACCGTTGAGCGGTCAAAGACCAGCAATCAACTGGATAGTCCCAATGTGTGCACACGTTTCAGTGTGTGTCAGAGCCAGTGGGTGCTCAGTCATCCCTCGCTGGGCAATTAAAAAGATGAAGCAAATATCTTCAAACAGTAAACTGAATTAAAAACAACCCACAGGAACAAGAAGTTAAGGCCTGCGATGACAATTTGGTTGGAATAGTCAACTGAGACAAGTCAACAATGTATGACAATGACTGATAACATTTGAACATATTGCATTCTGTCACTGCACATATTTAATACTTCAAAACTTGGCCGTTGGAACATATATTTTTCTTTCGTCATGCTTTACTTTAGTTTTGGTCTTAGTGAGCCTTTGGTCAGACAGTAAACAGGAAATAACTCCAGTATTTTTTTTTGGTTATCCAATAATACAAAAGGAGGAAGTTAAGGAATGATAATATAGTCGCAAAGCTTCCTTTTTTAGTTTGTTTTCAAAGATCAATTGATTACACTGAAACGTGTAGGGCCAAAAAAAAACATCCCAATAAGTCATTACCACAGGCCACTGCTGTGAATCAAGCATGGCAAAGAAAACAAGTGAATTTTAATGAAACAGCCCCCACTTTAATGCGGAGTGTGTGATCAATTGCTCCTGTTTTCTGGAGGAATCGACACTGACGCAGGCGGCTCCTTATCCTCGACTATCACGCCGAGATAAGTCACATTTCTTAAAGACGGCGCCCGGACATCAAGACTGAATCAACAAGTAAGTAAAAGCAACTTGTCAATTTGATTATTCGTTTCCATCCAGTACCGACTCCATCTGCCGCTCTCCTCCGCTAAACGTACAGAAGTGAAATTGTCACCGGGAGGGAGCTAATAACATTTCTATGGTAAGTGTTGTGTCAATCTGCCATCTGCCTGCACAAATATACAATCTGTCATGTTTTCTATGCCTGTGAGCAGCTGCAGGGTTTCACAAAAAATGAACCCTTAAAAAAGGCAAAAAACTGCCATGGCCAAAGCCACTAGTTTTTATATCAAACGTTGTTTTAAGAGTTCTGTTGAGGGTCTCGGGTACCAGCTTTGTCTTCAGCTAAATACCCCACGGTATGCAGCATCATGTCGGTTACTCTCTGCTATTTGGTGCCAAGCAGGTAATGTCCAGAGGGTTTTTATAGCTTTTACTCAAAGAACATCTGCCTGTTGCAGCAGAGTCAACACTGGGAGGAAGTGACTGTGAGAATGAACGGAAACTCTCTACAATACAAGTGGAGAAGCAGCTTTATATGCCAATTCCCCTATGGCTCTATTGTCACACTGCCCCTTTGATTTTACATTGCCCTCTTCGACATTTTTGTCAAGACAAATACAAATGACAGACGCACGAGTCAATATGATAATACAAAACAACCGGCGTTCATTTTTGAATTCCTGCCCCTTCCTAACTTTGGATTTTTGGAACTTTGGGTTTTAGGCAGGCTCGCACTACTAGTGGTTTTGGGGGTGTTAGACGGTCTAAAGCCCCTGGACGTCTGCTTTGCCCGTCAATCAGGCACAGCGTCATGCAGATGCGGCAAGAACCCAGTCATAACAACCCCTGTATCAACAATCCAACAGTGAGCAACACAATCAGCACATTCCTCCAGTCTTTGGTAACCTTGTTGTGTAGGTTGCGATTAGTGGTGTAACGGCTCGTCGTTCAGCACACTTGTTTACAATGGATTAATTACATGGTTAACTTTGGTTAAAAAAAGGTTTTATTGCAAACAGTCATCCGTCGAGGGCTGGTAAAATATGCAATCGGGACATCGACATTTCTGCTTTTGGTTTGTTCCATTGTAAACAACCTGTGAGTGTTTAAAAGGACACGAGATTAAAGGCACCACTCTGTTTAAGAGTTTGCATTGACCTTAGAGAGGTTGAAAGGATTTTTGAGATGGATTGAGCCTTTTAGAGCAGCTGCTATCATCAAACAAAGTGATCTGTATCTGTCAACATAGATTCAATCAATTATTTCAATGGCAAGTAGTATTCAAAAAGTCATTTTTTTCCTTTTGAGCACATGCGGTTGGTCATGTAATGTGCGATATAATCCAAACTGTGGCCCCGTTTACTCACAACAAAGTAATACCTAAGAAGAAAATATTATAATAATAATAATAATAATATTGGAAATACGTTTGCTTTTATTAAAAAATGTTTTACAGATCCAACTGAAAGTTGTGATATTTGTGGTACAGTTTCTAAATGTTATTCTTAATTAGTGCACCATATCAGCTTCAAGGAAAACATCCAATTCAAGCATTTAGGGGAAGCTATGGGCAGCAATGTAATATAATATTGTTAAGTATATTTTCTTCTGTGAATAACCACATTAAAATAGGAGTTTGACTTGGTTTGGGCTTTTTAGAACTAGCCTGGCAGTGACTCGTGCTGACCGAAGCCGCAATCTTTCTATAGAAGCCCAGATCAGATAAGCACAACACTGGTTTCTATAGGAAGCCTTTTGCAGTTCAACATTAGATTAAATGTCCATTGTGTGGGATTTTATCATAGTAAATACATTAAATTCCATTTGTCGTTGTGTTCACTACCCTTTAGAAGTTGCTCTGAATGTAAACACCACAATAAAAGTCTGTTTGATGTCTCAAAACTGATAATACCAATACGGATAATGCCTGAACATCACTTTTGTGATACTGTTGAATCACTTCCTTAAAATGTACCGAAGACATTACGGCCAGTCATCTTTTCTGACCACAGCCGGACGAGACTAAATGTGCTCAAGCAGCTTGTGGAATCTCCCCAGGAAGAAAAAAGCCCAACAATAACCGGCTCTGCTGCTACCGAGTCGGGCAGGAAAGCGCAGGGTAAAGGTGCGCGGAGGAGGGTGTGGCCACATTGTAGCAATGGATATGAAACCCAGGTACACACACCTGTCGCTTTAATTAAAGCTCGTCAAAACTGAACGATGCCATTTGGAAATAAAAATGGGATAATGTGTCGAACGTCGAGTCGTTTGATTCTAGCAATAAACCCTTTGGTTGTTATTCGTGGAAAGGCGCTCGCGGCCTGAGTCGAGGCGAACACCCACACCCCGTCTGTTTGAGCTCGCGGGATATATGCGCGAACGAAGCGAGCGCTCCTCTCCGACGAATTAAATGAATGGCTTTACTCACCCACCAGATGATGGCATACGCGAACAGAATCAACTTGAGGAAAATGTATGAGCATCGCTCACAGTATCGCACGTCGTCGTCGGACATCGTGTCCGTGTGAGGAGACGGTTGACGACTCACTTCCGCGTCGTCGTCGTCACACCTGTGAGCGCGCGGGCGATGGATAGACGGGAGGTTTTATGGGCCGCAGTAAACTGACGACGGTATCGAGTGGGAGAGTTACGGCGTTAACAAAAAATATGCACTATGACATTTGAAATGGTGATGAGTTTAATAATTTAATTGAATTGCTTTTTGACCACCGAACCACAATCTGACCGCTTCAGGGGTGCATCGAGCTCTTTTCACTTCCTCCTCTGATCCTTTATTTGAAACAATAAAAGTCTCACTAAGATTCAGTTTTTAAACCCGTTTGAAGGTGTTTATCTTCCTTGACACACTATGTCATGCTGCCCCCGCCCCCCCCCCTCAATAAAACGTGATTTACCGCCCATGTATTGATCTGTGAGTTCAGGATTTTCCACAAAATAATCATAAATAATGAACCGCCTTTTGTCTTGCACGTAAATAACGGGGAAGTGGTGATGATTTGTATACTGTACTTCGAAAAATACCAACTGGCTCGTGTTGACAGTTAATCTTTGTTGCCACACGGGCCTTTCGTCTGTGGCCCCTGTAGTGTTCAGTACTCTTATCTTATCAGCAGCCCTTTCAGCCAATAAAGTGTGTTGGACGATAAGAGAGAGCTGTCTGGGGTGGCTGTTCACTCACTATTTCCAATCGGTTAATTTTGTCTACTACTTATCACATCTTATTTACCACCTACACCTGTCCTTCACCAAAAGACCTTCGACTGATAATGTAGAGCAAACTGAAATGTGCTGCAGTGCCAAATTTAACAAGATGATTGGAAGTGTCTTTCTTTACGAGATGAGATGTGTGTTCATCCATTCCTCATTAGTTTCACAGTATTCGCCCCTTCTGGCATGAGGCTGAGATTCACACAGGGACATACATACAACTCTGCCCTGGCTGCGCCCTTCAACATGTCCTTCACCAGGCCCTGCCGACCAATCAGTATATTTGAGCATGTGAAAGTACACCTATGCAGTTGCCATTGTACACACACACAACAGAAAACAACTCAGGGGGTTTGGCTGAAATCAGCAGGTTTTACCTCCATCTGCTCATTTCGGTGCAAACACAAACGCATATGAGTAGATTTCAGGAAAGAGGAGAGAGACAGAGGGAGTACAAATGTTAGGAGGAAAATAAAACAACACATTTGCCAGTTACTGTCAGTGAGAGCAAAACAAACAAAGAAACAGCCCAAGAGGAGACTGTGAGACAAAGGGGAATAGAAGCCTAGTGTGAACATGGTAGAAGGACGGCAAGTGTACATGCACACTGGGTCGGGCCTTACGGTGGTGGCTGCATTTAAATATTTATACATGGCTCTTTTTAAACACACGTGCTTGAATGCATATAACAGTTCAAACCAGCAGCAACCGGACATGTTTTCTCATGTTTCACATGCCACAACTCCATGAAAAGGTAGACGGCAGCATTGTTAAAAGTTTTAAACTTTGAAACCGACATTGATTCAGGAAATCGGTAGTTTATTTGTTCATTCATACTTCTCTCTCTGCCCCCCACTCCCCCCCCCCCCTCTCTCTCTCTCTCCCTCTCTCTCTCTCGTTGGCGCAGCTCCATGCGCAGAGCCGCGTGCCCTCCTGACAGTGCGTCTCCCAGTCACTCTCAGCAGCTTGTGCTGTGATACATTCCAGAAGAGAGGGGAAGGTTGTGTGTGAGTGTGTCAGAGAGAGAGAGAGACAGAGTTGAGATGTCTTGATGGACTACTGGATGTAACTGGTTGTTCATTGCGCCTGCGGAGTCTAATTTACGGACATTATGGATTGGTCCAACTGGTGTAAAAACTGACAACTCAACTTCAGGTAAGCCAGATGAAGGAAATTGACATGTTGTCTTATTATTGTTCAGTGCAGAAATTCCTCACCTTCAGCTGTTGCGCTTTGATGCTGCAACACAATTTGTGAGCCAAATGCCCTCGATACGCTCTTTCTGATGAATATATTTTCATTGGTATAGTAACAGTTCGACTTGTTTAACATTTAAACATTCATCACATGATTTAAATTGAATGTGGGCTGAACCAAAGGGCAGCTTTATTTTATGCAGAACGAAATGGTTGAATAAAAGAACATGTGCTATAAGATTATGCTATCAGTAGATATGGAACTTGCCATAATGATGATATGATGTTTGATTATTAACTAAGGCGACCGTGCTGACGTTCAGATAGCCAAATGCTTATTTCTCATTTGACATTTGTGATTCATCTGAAAAGCATATGTTGTACGGTTAAAATTTCTCCTAATAGCCATTATATATATATATATATATATATATATATATATATATATATATATATAAATAAATCTATATCATATCCATCTTGAAATAATGGAAAAACACAGCTAGAATTTTACAACACTGTATATGAACTACATGCAAGATACAAATCAACAGCCTATTTGAAGGGACTCAATACGAATATGAGATCCCATGAAGTTAAATCCTCTATGCATGACGCAGCTACAGTTTTCTCTCCCTCAGGAAGAAGAATGGACATTCAACAAGGCATGGAGGCTACTTTATTGCCAATTTCGTTGACCACCGACTGGCAGGACGACGGGAACGAGACAATTGGCAATCAGTTCCAGCAGCCAGATTGGCAGGTGGGAAACCTGGGATCGTTCAGGGAAGACTGTATCGAATGTGGCAGTGAATCAATAGATGATATTCAGAGCTGTTTAATGAAACAACTGACCCAAAGACAAATGTTGTTAAGTGTGTGTTTTGAAAATGCAGAGATCAGTAGACTGTAGAAAGAGGAAAGAAAAAATATATTGGAAGATTCCAACATATTATACATAGTCTCTGACAAACAAATGTAAAAAAATAAACATAGATCCACAAATTAAGTATTTTGCGGGAGAATATCTATTACTCCTCCAATCTGTATATCTTTGTTCCCTTTGATTGTTCTGCTGCCGTTTGAACTGTTCCTTTTTAAAAATAATAGTCTCCTCTTCCTTTTCTTGTTTGAACCCTCGTCTTCCCTCCTGCTCTCTCATCGTCTGCATTCCTCCCTGCCTCTTCTTTCCTCGCCCCTCTCCTCTCATTTTCTTATTTGTCTCCTCTTTCTCTCCTCTCTTATTTGTCGCCTCTTTCTCTCCTCCCTCAGGTGGCTTTGTGGGCTCTAGCCTACTCCCTCATCATCCTGGTGTCCATCACTGGCAACGTAACAGTGATCTGGATCATTCTAGCACACAGGCGCATGAGGACCGTTACCAACTACTTCATTGTCAACCTGGCCTTCTCCGATGTTTCCATGGCAACCTTCAATACTCTTTTCAACTTTGTCTATGCGCTTCACAATGACTGGTACTTCGGCCTGGGCTACTGCCGATTCCAGAACTTCTTCCCCATCACTGCCATGTTTTCCTCAATATACTCAATGGCTGCCATTGCAGTGGACCGGTAAGAAAGCTGCAAGCTCTCATCCAAACTGACGAAAATAACCCGCTCACCGCAGAAACGGTCTTGTACAAATATATGACAGTCATGGAGGGACTTATCCTCAACTCCTAGAACGCCCGATTTAGGATCTGCGTTATGCAAATATAAAAAAAATCAACTGTATTGATCTATTGTTCTCAATGTATTTGAATTATCATGAATAAAAGTGATCAATATACTGGTTGATTAGTATAAAATAGCCTGAAAAATGACTCACACAACCATATTTTGCTCTTTGATGGCAGATACATGCCAGCCTAATAGAATATTTTTCATCAGTTAACGCTTCATTGCAGATTTCTAGAGCTTCTTTTTCAGTCAGGGGATTATTTGAGGTTGGAAAGTTGATAAAAGCAGCAGCAGAAACTGTTCACCCAGCAGAGGAAAATGCTGCTTGATGAGACAGTGGTCGAAAAGCAGCAGAGATACAGATGTCATTAATACGTACTGGAGCATGAATGGTCAGTCTGTTCCTTTAGTAGGACGCTGCGCTTGATTTACATAACATCTGCCATCTGCTAGGATCCGACCAGGTGTTACATCAACTTATAGATACTACATTCCTCCTCAGGACTTTCCAATTCGTGAAGTCTTCAAAATGTATTGAAGGAGCACATAACACCTAATCCCATGTTAACCATTTAAACTGAGGAAAATAATCTGCATTCATAAAATCTTTATATGCCAACTCCAAATTGCAACTACAATCCTAAAAAATTAACCATGAAAAGTGAGAGTTAAGAAGAGTGTAGCAAAACAAAGCCAGAATAACAGATTTACATGAAAAAGCATTCTCTCTTATATTTAGATTAGACAGATATACATGAAGTATCTTTTTACTTGATGATAAACGGCCATTACCATACTCTTCTTGAGTATTTAGAATTGAATCACACAGCCATGGATTTAGATATAGTGATTTTATTGCTTTGCTTTGCCCTCTTTTCACTAAACGTATCGCCTTTCTTGAAGCATATATCAAATGACAGAAGTAATGTAGTCTTTAGATACTCAGTCAGGTCTTTAATTTTTAAGTGAACGCTATTATATATTTTAAATAAATTGTACATATTGGTTTAAAGATTTCAAATTTAGATCGGCTTTTCAGGTCTAGAACAACATCTTTACAGGATATTGGATGAGAAGAACACATGTTCTTCTTCAAGCTATTTGTTATATACATTCTTTGTGTTGATAAATTGTTTTGTTTCAGATCTTAAATACACTTGTGTAACGAGATATAGATCAACACTTTCCAGTTAATGGTTTGATGGAAAAGTGGATTTTATAATAAAAATACGGCTCGACTTCAATGGCACAGAAGCCCAATAACAAAGATGCTTCCTGGGGTCACTGTGATTCCTAAAAGCTAAAGATAGACCTGTGTGAAAGAGAGAGATGTGGATGAATAAACCTTTTGATGTCCTTCCAGGTACATGGCCATCATCCACCCCCTGAAGCCCCGTCTGTCCTCCACCTCTACAAAGGTTGTGATTGCCCTGATTTGGATTGTAGCAATATTACTGGCTTTCCCTCAGTGCTACTACAGCATGACACAGTTTTACAACCCCAGAACGGTGTGCATGGTCAACTGGCCTGACGACTATGGTGGAACACATCAACTGAGGTAAGACAAGTAAATATCGCCGCAAACACGGTGTGCAAGATGGATGCAGTCACTGCTAACAGATGTATGAGGACACTAATGCAAATCAGTACACAAAATGCTATAATAATGAATCGTTCGAAATATCTGGGACTATGAGCATAATGTACCTGGTGCAGACAGATGGTTCGTCTTTGAACCCTCTGTACGGAAAAACATCTGGGCGTAAATGTATTTACTCATGACTCACCGGCTTATTATTGATGGCAGTTTTATTTCTTCACTTTTAAATGTTGGTAGTGTATGTTGCCCGAGGATTATCATCAACCAAAGGAACCGTGAACAAAATGTGTGTTTATATAACTTCACAACACTGACCGGCTGCTTTCTCCCCCTCTGCAGTTACCAGTATTCAGTGATATTACTGAGCTACCTGCTCCCTCTGTTGGTGATGCTGGTGACCTACAGTTTGGTTGGCCAGTCGCTGTGGGGTGGGCACATCCCCGGGGAGGCAACAGACCATTACCACAGCCAGATCACAGCCAAGAGAAAGGTCACTCACGTCTAATCTTCTAGTGTTGTGAGCTGTAAATCCGGACTTTTGACGTGTCACCTCCCTATTGTCAAAACGCTCAGATCAACTGGGCCACGTCTGTCGAAGCTGAACTGAATTTAAAAAGGAGCCGACTCTGCTGTGCTTTTTCATAGGTGGTGAAGATGATGGTTGTCGTTGTGCTGACATTTGCCCTTTGCTGGTTGCCCTACCACATCTACTTCATTTTGGGATCATTTAACATAGACATATATAAACAAAACTACATCCAGCAGGTTAGCGGCTGCTCTTCTGTCATTAACTACCAACAGTGGTTTGAATTAGTTTTAATCGGAGGTACTCATTTACTGGTGTCCCATGTTCACCTGCTTTTTCAGGTGTATCTGGCCATATTCTGGTTGGCGATGAGTTCGACCATGTACAATCCCATCATCTACTGCTGTCTAAACCAAAGGTAAAAGATATATTCACACACACACACAAACTCCTCAGGTGACAGCATCCTGAAATCAATTCTCGTCCCTTTCTGCAGGTTTCGTGCAGGTTTCCGCCACGCGTTTGTATGGTGTCCCTTCATCAAAGTGTCAGAGGAGGACAGGATGGAGTTGCAGCACACCAACACCTTCCGAGTCACCATGACGCGTAGCCACCGCAAAGACAGCACAAACACACACACATCCGGCAAAAGAGCTGTCAACCCTGAACTAAACACCGAGAGAGACGCTCGCGTGCAGCTCAAGAAACAGCCACCGACTAAAACACACAGCGTACTCAGATACACATGCGGAGAGGAGGCCGAGCGATTCACAATCCCCGGCTGCAAAACGCATGGAGCACACCCATCGACCACCCAATCAAATCACCATGAGGACATCGGTGGGATGGTGACAGGGTTTCTCTACAGCTACAGAGCTGATGAGAAATAGAGAATGAAGCATCAGAGCAAACTGTGGTGATATTCATCGTCTTAGTACGGAGCTGTTCATTGGATTTAGGACTAATCACTTTTTAAAATGGAAATTGATGTGAGGCGCATAACAACACATGCATACTGGACAAGAGATTAACAAGAAGGTCTGTAGATAAATCCTGCAGTCATTGATTAGTTTTACCGAAGCCCATTCTCCTCTCTCCTCCGTCTACACTTTTTCTTTCATCGCTGACTTTTTACCAACCTTTTCTCTTCTTTCGAGAAAAACTAACTATAAAAGTATCTTTGCGTGCTTATTTGTCTTCAGCAGCATAAAATGGGTGGACAGTCCACTGGCATCAGAACCAAGCCTTAATAATGCGGTACTTCATTTGAAAACTTTTATTTTTGTTGTGTTTATTATGTGAGACTGGGTTGATTTACAAAGGCAGCGGCGGGTCGTCTTCGTACAGTCTGGCAGCATGTTGGACAAAAATCGTGTCACAAAATCCTACAGAGCTTTCTGTGTCAAAGTGAAATTTCATTTATTGATACACACACGTAACAAAGTAAAATAAATAAAGCTCCTCCTGTTATTAAGAGCAGGTGTCCGTGACCACACAGCAGGCGAGACAAACAAACACTCAGTAGGGCTCCACCCCGGGTGTCTAATATAAATTACATAAACTTACAAAACATTCACATAAACTGGGCGTCATCCATTTTAGAGGAAAAATTATATGACGACCATGGACCTGTTAGTGTACAGTACTAGTATTTTGACAGATCTATATGTATTGTGAATTCACTGGTTCATAGACCTGTATTTTCTATGGCCATTGTACAGTTGAGCAGTCATTAAAAAGTGAAAGTGTTGCTCCTCGAAGAATGTGATGTATATTAATGTTAATCATGCAGATGAAGTGAAAATGGAAATATGAGACTTATCTACTTGGATGTTGTAAATACTTTAGCCGTTTAACATTGACATTTGAGAATGTAGAGAAAACTACTTGATTCCTTGATCAACTTTTGACTATTTAAACACACACGGTGAAACAAAGTGAAACATCTGTATTGGTTGTTTACACAAAAAGTAGGGTGGTTACTCGTGACCTAAATAAACAAGAATTATGTGTTTAATAAATGTATGTGTTGTCAGTTTTCCTCTACACATTGGAATAATGACTACAGAGGGGAGGTTGTATATCTGCAGGATTAGGACACAGAGCTTATGTCCCATTGATCAGTTATCTCCAAACACACCAACATCAAACGTATCTGCACAAAAACAACTCCGGATTGACTCAGGTTTGTCTTTTCTTTCGTGACCGGTTGGTTTACAGTGTTGGGCGGATACAGTCTGGGTTTTGTGATGAGAAGCAAAGAGTCTAATGTGTCTCTGTGATTGGGGCTGGCTTTTAGATGTTTATACTACTTTGGGAAACATCTGAAGGCAACAAAGGCAGAAGCTTCATCACGGAATTAATGTAAAGTAGGAATGGAAACTAAACTGGCTGTAAATTATGAAAATATCCCAGTGTTTTTTTTAAATCATTAACAGCAATAATTTCATTTGATTTTATTACAGAACAAACATTCATTTTTGCATGAATTGTGCTACTTGAATGAGCGTTACAGTATCTTAAACGACCTCCTGGGTTTTTAAGGGGATGTGGAGTCCAGAGGAACGAGTACAGTGAGAAGCGTGAAATGAATACATTCTTGTTAAAGTTTCAGTTACTACCATATTATTCTTATCCCCGATTTAAGTCACTGTTGTTCCGATGGCAGCTACTGTAAATAAGCACCGAATTCCTGTGTGATGGTTTTTGCTAAGTAAGTTCACTGTAAATATCACTGTAATTATGAGAGTAGCCTGCACATCTTTAAACACCAATAATAAACTTAACAGTTGTCATAGATCCAACGACGGGACTTCTACTTAGTATACAAGTGAGTAGGCTAGGATGGCATTAGTCAAAATATGCACATTTAATAAGCATGTGACATCTCTCGCAGATCAGTCATGATCACCGTCCCTCTTTTGTCACCTTTCTGCTTGATTTGGTTCATTAAATCCTCCACCACCGTAAAGGGGATGGCTGTGGGGTCTTTGGAGGTGGCCTTTCTTGTGAGCCTCATTACTGCAACAGCAACATTTCTCAACATCGCCAAATACAAAAATAAAATAAATAGCAACAATGTATGTATAACATATTATCTGGACATGGTATTACAGTTTAAGCAAAAATATTCCCTCATTACAAATTATTATTTAACCCTCATATCCCTTGTACACCAAGTTGTAGAAACAGTCAGCCTACTGCAGCAGAAACCGTTTGGAAGCTGTGTTCTTATGTTCCTGCCTTTACCAAACATGTTATAAGGACAGACGCTTCTCTGACATACTTATGGACATTGTCTTTCAACTATTGTACTTGGTACATTGTATAAGACTGCAGTTATCAGAGGACTCCTACATATGCCGATGATAAACAGCTCACGTGTGGACTTTTTGCCATGAACGTTTACGAGTTTAATATGCGTGTGTTATCTATATAGATAAGTTGAATTAACCGAACTACAAACTTAACCAAACTACAAACTATCTTAAGAGTCTGGGTATTGTTTCATCGGTTGTTAAAAGATAATCTAACTACAACAAAGGCCTGACTCTCGGCTACCTGACGCAGCAGGGAGAGCCGTCTCGTCCTCTCGGGGTCAATAGTGGGGAGATAAGAAGATGGGAGATCTTCTATTTGCCGTTCAGCTCCCGTCTCAGTCGGCAGCCCACCGCTGTGATGAGAGCAGCTCCTTTCCCACTTCCGTCCTCCGACAGCAGGAAGTTGACGTTGCACTGAGGAGCTAAGTCGATCACCGTCTGGTGCATGATCTTAGAGAAACTAGACGGGGACAAAAGATTTGACAACATGTTGAACAGTGAAGTGATACATATTGTACCAAATAGCAAAAGAGAAAGTGCAGCTCCAAAAAGACGGAGATTGAGAGCAGCATGTTACAAGTGAGATAGCCCTCAAATTAAGGCCTGGACTCTTCTGAACAACACATTTTGTTCACAATTAGTTAGTCAATAAAGTCTCAGGCTCATTATGATCTGCACACAATAATGCACGAGACATGCACCATTCAATCATTGTTGCATGAGTACATAAGAAATTAGAGTCAAACTCAGTAAGTCAGTTCATGTGTATTTTCCATGCAGGAAAATGTAGATGAAATTTGAAAATGGGGAGAAAAAAATATATATTGCTATCAGTTGGGATTACTCAACAATATATAACAAATAACAATATGTGAGTGAATAATGAAGAAAACCAAGTGTTCTTTCTTCCATTCTGTGGTTTCTCTTTTCAGATCTGGACAAACAGGAATGGAGGCTTAACAACAACGTAATTACTTTTACCATGAGGTGCCTCAAACACATCTTACAACTGTATTTGAAAAGGTGCTAAATGGCCAGGAGTGCATTCCTGTGTGTTTAAATGGTCGAGCTGGCTTGTGTTTCCAGGTGCTTGTTTGCTGCACAACAACTTCCACAACCAGGAGCGACAAATACAGTTGTCATGTAAATAAGGTAAACAAGTGTCTAAACGAGTCCTTCAGACAAGTCCAACCTGGTCTCCATGTTTACATCTCGTGGGCAGCGTTTAATCTGCTTCCAATTCAACTCACTGTGGATGCAGTTTGTAGAGTGTCCCGTCCACCCCTACAGTGATGTTCAGATGGTCCAGTCCTCGGTTTTCTCTGATCTTATCGACCACGGCCGCCATTCCCGCCCCACACAGCTGAGCTGCACGACGCGACACTGCCCCACATACCTGCACAACAACCAAAACCCATTATCGTTATTGCAACACTTAACAGACAGTAACTGCAACAATTTGCTCAGCAGAAAATATCATTTCACTCCACAAAGCTTGTAAATACACCGTGACATATCGGTTTCTGACTTGAATGGTGACATGTGCCTACTTCTTTCACAAGATGATAATATATTGTGTGGCTCAGATTCTTGCAGTGTTCAGTTCATCAGGTAGACCTAGATATTTTCATGAAGGTTGCGTTCAAACTAGATTTAACTGGTTGGTTCCCTTAGAGATAATAAACTGGAAACTAGGTGTTTATTCTCTGCACAATATGCAATAAGGGTCATGAGTTTGTGTTCATAAATGGAGACTGGATTAGATAATCAACATGCTTGCTTGCTACGGATTTGAAATTCCAAAACCCCCCGTATTTTATAATATATTTTGTTTGGTTTGTTATGAGCACACATGTATCGGACTACACTTTACCTCTTTAACAATGATACTGTCATCACAGGTGCTATCCAGCCCCAAGTGCTGCAGGATGGATCTCACTTGAAGTAAAGCCAATCGGTCACTGGAAGAAGAAGAAGAAGAATGAGCACTCAGCAAAAGAGAAGTTCATCTCAGTTTAAGAACAACTTAAAATAAAGAAAAAAACGTGTCTATCGAAACAGTAAAGATAATAGTTGCAGATGCTGTTCTACAAACGGCACTAATGATCTACAATGATCTTGAGCAGACATAAACCAGGTAGTCACTATTCTCACCTCTCTATCTGTGAGAGGAACTTTGTCTCGAAGATGCCTCTTGTCTTCAGCGTTTCAGAAATCTGTCCTCTGAACAGGAATCCCCTCTTGGTCATATCTATTAGGATGTTTCGCACAATTTCCCCGAGATACATGCCGCTGCACATTTTCTCATATCTGTTAAAACACACGCAAGCACAAAACATGCACAGAAATCAACACACTGAAAGACATTAATAAGGGTTTAAGTCCATGAAATAAAAGGGTTTCTGTGTGCGTGTGAAGGAGATTCTCACCTTTGTTTGCCTGAATTGAGGGAGAAGTCATCCACAGCCCGATCATAATCTGTCCTAATGTCATCAAGACATCCGTTGTCTCCGAAAGCCCCCCACTCCATGTTGACACACATCCGGCCCTCCTCTCCATCAATCATCTCAATGTTCCTCATCTCCTCCATGTAACACGCGTTGCTGCCAGTGCCTATAATCATACAGAAGCGTCAGAAGGACAACAGAAGGAACAGAAAACTGAATATTTACCAAAAGATACATAAGGTTAACTAACCAGCAATTAGTCCAATCTCACAGGTGGGCTCTTCGTAGGCACACGTCATCATGGTTCCCACTGTGTCGTTCACTACGGCCACAACATCCAGATCAAATTCCTAAGGAAGCAACACATAATATGATGCAACTTCACAGTGCAGAGAGATGTTTAACCAAGTGATGAAGCAGCTCATATAATCACCTCTCTCCTCTTGATGGCCTCCCTCAACAAACCCACCACATCTTCTCCTTCACAGTCTGTCGCCTTGAAGCCCTTGGTCCACGTCACAAGGACGCCCTGCACACAAAAACACACATTTATTTTTCATAGGATACCTGGAGTTCTTGGTCAGCTCAAGAATTCGAAAACTCAAAGTTTATCAGTGGACCCTTTCTGCGGCCTCTCGGGGAAGAAAGACAGTTCAGCGTATCGGTGAGGAAGGAAGCGCTGCGCACTCACAGCATCCAGGCTGGTCTGTCGGCACGGGAAGGAGAAGGTGAAGCCCAGAGGAAGACGAGTGTTCTTCATCCCCATGTAGTCCAGGAAGTCACTGATGCACTGCACAATGTGATCGAACAACTGGAAGAAGACAAGACAATATCTTAAACAACAGTATTGAAGTTTATCAGTAAAAGAATAATCCACTTTTTATGCTAATTACTCGCTAGTTTTATAAAATCTGTCTGGAAATACAGTATCTGGAGAAATAAGAACAGAAATGAAAAAACTTTTAATCCCTTTGGGCTTTAAATAGATTTTTATAAAACACAAAATGTTGTGTGACTGGATTCAGCCTGGTCATTTACATATTTTAGTGGATTAATTATTCACGGCTGTTATGTAATCTGACTGGTTTGGGGGCAGGACAGAAACCGTGATTGGGAAAGGTTGAGTTTAGTGGCGCACGGTTAGCTCGGTTGTTCATGTGCGTCAGTTACGTAGCAAGGAGAGTTAATTCATATATCCATCACTACAATCCGCACACATTGTATACTGGAATCACTGCAGAGCTATGGACTCACAAATATGCCAACTTCAGAGTGTACTGGACACATATGTTGAAAGATGCACAACTCCAATTTAGCATAATGAATTAAAACACACGCAAAATTACAATAAACTATCTCTACTTTCCTGTTCTGTTTACCTACGGATAGAGCGGGGCGATAATTGCTAAAATGTAACTTTATCACCAACCCCAAGTTCAAATCTTTGTTTTGAAGACTCCCTCTAACCTACAGACCTTCTTCTTGATTCCTGCTGAACTTTACAGCACAATTACCAAACCAACCCTTCTGACTTTTCATCACATACGTACATTTAACAGAAGTTAACGGGTCAAATAACTGATCCATCTCACCTCCTCTCCCGTGCCCGTCATCACCTCTAAAGGAATAGAGTAGATCTTGTTGTGCATCTCCACTGTTCTCCTCTTGCCAGAGCGAATCTTGACCAAAAGAACCCTGAAGTTGGTTCCTCCCAAATCCAAAGCCAGGAAATCGCCATGTTCTGAAAAAATTAAATAGGCAGACAAACAGATGAATCAATGACTAAATATAATTAAACTGTAACAAAAGATGTTCCTTGTACAATGATGAAAAAAATAATAGCCGGGGATTTCAATGGAAAAATTCAGAATCATTCATTGGAATGTCACTGCAGTGATTTTAACAAGATATAATGCAGCTGTGCAGTCAAATTGGCAGCTGGAATACGTTTGTGTTCATGTATGCTTGTGTGCATGTGAGAGAGTCACCTGAGCCATCAGGAGTGCTGTGCACAAAGGTCGGCAGCATTTTGACAGTGGCAGCTTCCTGGGTGCTTTTTGAAAGGCCATTTTGGATCTCGATCTTCATTCTCTTCTTTACCTGGGAGGAATTTAGGAATATTCTCAATAGCGATGAAATGCACAGTTATTTCAAACGCTTCTTTATCTCCGTGTCCTCACCTCCAGCAGTTGTTCTGTCGTCAGGCGGAATTCAGACAGCGTTTGGGTAATTTCCCGGGAGTGTTCGGCGAGTCGGTAGGCGACAGCCGTCACCATAGCGGCTCCTTTTCCACTGCCGCTCTCCGACAGGAGGAATCGGATATCAGCGTCCGGGACCAAACGACGGACTGTCTTATGAAGACGACGGGCGTATCTGAAGCACATAGAAGAGTGTTTAAGAACATTTTTAAAACAAAAACTGTTAAATTATGTAGTAAGCCACCTCGGAACACCTGACAAACAAATCACAACTGCCTCTGACATCAAGTAACAGTGACAACATGAATGAATGAAGCAAACATTCCCTTCACTTACTGCGGGTGCATTTTGTATAGCGATCCGTCGATCCCTACAGTGGTCCGGAGTCGCGCCACGCCTTTGTTCTCCTTTAGCCTCAGCAGGATGCCGGCCAGCGAGGCCGCTATCAGGTTGGCAGAGCGGAAAGACACGATGGCACAAACCTGGAGAGGAGAGGAATTCATCAGCGGCAGGAAATTTAAACTGAATGAATTGCAGAATGAGATAAAAAAAGGTATGTGTTGTATTTTAAACCATTTTCAGACAATGCAGCATAGATTTCAAATATGTTGAAATTGACATTATCATGTTTGCAATCACAGCAGACAGAAAATCCAAAACGTACAAATACGGATAAAATGACTTCAGTAGTATAAATAGTTTGCATATAAATACTACATTAAGTGGCATCAGATCCAAATACAGCCATTTCAACAAACAATACACACATGCTGCACAGCGATACAGTCATCGTCTGAGGGCTCCACTCCAATACTGGTTAAAATCTCTCTGGTCTTGTTCAACCCCTCCTTGCTCCTAAACAGGACAGACAAAGCAGCAAAGACGGGCTGGAATTATACCTCCTTCAAAGTTGTGTAATGTAGATTTATACAAATATACAAAAACAACAATGGGTGATGTTTACATGAAGCGTGACTTACTTCTCTATGGCGGAGATTTGTTTCGTCTCAATCCTCCCTCGAGTGAGAAGATCCGGAGTGATTCTGCCCTCGAACAGCAGGCCTTCTCTGGCCATCTTCACCAGGATGAGACGAACCAGCTCGCCCAGGTACATGCCGCTGACCATCTTTTCAAATCTACACGTTAAAAGACCAAAGGAGAGTTTTATATTATTATCAATTCAACCTTTTTACCATTCATGTTATAGTTGAAGATGCCAGAAGATGACTTTTAAGCAACGTTTTTGGAAATAATAATAATTGAATTTGCGGTTTCAGACGCTGTTTTTCTCATGGTGAGACTGTACAGACTTAAGTGAATTTTTGTACATCTTTCACAGCGCACATTTTAGAGGGGAAATTGTCATTATTTATAGTTGGCATATATTGTCCGATAGCACTGAGTATGAGTATTATTAGGTTTTCATTATTCTTCGTATTAAATACATTGTTAATCTTCTGGAGAACCAAACATAAAGGGTGGAAAGTGGTACAGGGACTAGATTTATGGAGCATTAAACGCTCACAGGAATACGGGGGTTCAGTATCGTGACTGAGGACAATTTGACATGTAGACCACAGGGGCCATGGATTCAATCCACAACCTTCCTATTGGACGGCCGCTCCACCTCCAGAGGTGAGTCATACGTCTGGTATATTTTGTGGTTCCTTCACAGCGTAAAAATATAAACAAGACTGGAATAAAAACTATAATGGTTTTGGTATGACTTACAGCTGTTTGCCAGGGTTGAGAGAGCCTCTGTCTATCTCTCTGTCAAACTCCGTCCTGATGTCCTCCAGCCTGCCGTCGTCTCCAAAGGCCCCCCACTCAGTGTTCACACACATCCTGCCTTCGTCTCCCTCCACCAGGTCAATGTGACGCAGCTCCTCCATGTAGCACGCATTGGTCCCCGTACCTAATCAACGAGAAAACACATACATTCCCACAGCTTAACCTCTTTTTTTAATTCTGCTTCTCAGGTTGGACTCCTGAATTCCATTTTACTTGAACAATGTCAAATACACTCTTGACTATTCCAATGCACATTGTTGCCATACCGATAATAATGCCAACTTCACAGCGCTGGTCATCGAAACCACAGGTCATCATCGTTCCAACCGTGTCGTTCACCACCGCCATGATGTCAGCGTCGTAGTCCTGAAACAAATGAAAGCAGACAAGCGTTTACGGTCATCGGTGCCATTCTGCATCCCAGTTTTAGTCAAACAAAATCCTTTCTGGATGAATAAGTGAGGACTCACTCCTCGCTTCTTTATGGCTTTGTTGAGGAGTTTGACGACATCCATTCCCTCCACCCCACTGGCTTTGAAACGCTTCGTCCACGTGATCAGAACGCCCTGAAAACAAGACAGACAGGAGTGAGAAAAGGAAGGAGGTCGGTCTCCAGCACGACCGCAGCAACTCACAGTTCCAAAAGGCCAGCATGTTAATTGTCACATATTTAACTAAAAGATAAGACAAGGAAAGTGCTGTGAGTCACAAAGAAGTAGAAGAATACTGAATCAACATAAAAAAATAAACAGTTTCACCTCATCCAGTTTAGTCTGCTGGCAGGGGAAGGAGAAGGTCAACCCAACTGGGAGTTTCTTGTCTTTGATGCTGTGTTTCTCCATGAAGTCACCGAGACACTCTGCAACATGGTCGAACAGCTGGAACAGAGCAGATGTTGAGAGTGAGAAGGTGTCTCAGGGCTGAAAAGACTCTCTCTGTGTGTTTTCGGTATTAACCTACTCTTGTTCCACTTCCGTGCACGATGTCTTCTGGTGTGTCATAGATCTGACTCTCCATCTGAACGGTCTGTTTCTTCTCGTGGCTCACTCTGACGCGGAGGATCCGGAAGTTACTGCCGCCCAAATCCAACGCAATGAAGTCGCCCTTCTCTGTCAGACAGACAACGTGGGAAGACGAGAGAGAGAGAGAGAGGTGGATGAATGCAATTTCAGGAGCAAGGCAAAAGGATGCTGGCATTCACTTAAAAACACATCTAATTGCAACAGCTCTTCTCGGCTTTTGATAAAGCTTTTCATACCTCATCATGGTAATCTTCCTGAGATATCTCAATGGTTTTAACAAGATTATAAAGCAGAAAGAAACTCATTGCATGAACCCACACTATCGTGATTCGGAGTAAAAGGTTTTTTAGAGCATTGGAAACATTTAACCACCAGTTTTTCTTTCACTCTGTGAGATCATGTCCCTGAACCTTTTCGTGCAGATCGGAATGCAAGGTCAGCTCAGTTGTGCAGACTGATAATGTATCTGAAAAGATTTTTTTTTTCTAAACTACCCCGAGGCCAGTGATTAAAAAACAATCAGGGTTTCAAGATCACTGAGAACGCTGCAGTGGGTCACAGCAAGAAGATGCAGAAACATTTCCTGTTTTTTATCAATATGTTATAAGCTGAACAGAACACAGACTAATTCCTGCTCACTCTGCTTTTCTGCTTATGGTAAAATAGTTTGAATGCTACAACACAAAAACCTACGTGGTGTGAAAATGGTCGTCCCTGTTGAATCGAGTTAAGTTAACTCGAGTGCTGTCGAGTTAATAGCATTTTTTATTTTGAAAGCAAAAAAGGTACAAATGCTGAGAAAGGCCAAGAAGGAAGAGATGATGACACATTTGTAAGTTACACTTGTCTTTCGGCATTGGACTGTGCAGCCTTACTTTTGTTGCCAGTGCTGAAATGAGAAAACTTGCTTTGCCACTAAATAACTTCTTGCCTGACTGGAGGTCAGTTAAATCATGTGGTTTAGAGGCGGCGCCTACTAACCTGAGCCATCAGGGATGGACTGCACAAAGGTTGGCAGCATTTTCAACGAGGCAGTGGGGTTCGTGTCCCGCCCCAGTCCTTTGACCAGCTCCATCCGAAACCGCTGGGTGATCTCCTTCAACGTTTCATCAGAGAAACGCATGGAGTACAGGTACTTATCGATCTACAAATGGACATCAGACAAAATAGAGACATTGCTATTATAAATCAGAAACATGTAACCGCAATACTATATGACGATGCTGAAAATACAGTAAAACTAACTCTCCATCTGTAATGCTTTTAGTCATCCATGACAGGAATCCACTCCCTGAACTAATTTATCCCAGCTGGGCTTCACCCACTAATGAACCAACGCCGCAAAGCAACAGAACGATGTCTATATCGTTTTAGTGCCATGTGGTCATATTGCACAGTCAATATCTAATGACACACAGGCTATTATCAAGGCCTTCTTTGTGACTTTATTATGGATATGATAAGGAGGAGGCCATGACAGACAAAATAGGTGCGCCTTGAAGCAATCATCAGCCTGTCTGGCACAGACTGTGTATCTCGCTCACTGTATAAACTGTCGCAGATTCAGCACACAGCGGCCCGAGCTGTCCGGCCTGTCGGGAACAGGATGTTAAACAATCTTGGTGAAATCCATTGTTTCATCACCCTCTACGATGAAGCAAAGACCTACTTTATATTACACACACGCGAGAAGTCCCTCTGGTCGAATGTCATGTTCATCATGACTTTGCTGATTTGTGGAGTAACAGGGAAGTTGAGCGCAAGTTAACCCATTACTGGATTGTAAGTCTGTTTCATGACAACCAGATATGTATTCAATAATAATAACAATAATACGCACAAAAAAGTCTGACATGACTCAATATCCACACACACACACACACACACACACACAATGTTTGGATGCAGCTGTGACGTCCAAGTGAGAATTTACTAGTATTACTCTGGAATGTTCTAACATCCTGTTTTAGAAGTCACACGTCATTTTCCATTACAGCTCTGGTCTTTGGTAACTGGTTCAGGACAATGCCGTTTGTCTGAGCAAAACAACTCAATTTAACTTTTTATTTAAATGTGTGGTTAGGCTGAAGGACAAAAACAATGTTTTTTGATAAAAAATATTCCAATTAGCAGATGTCACATTTGGATTTTATTGTCAAAAAATCAGATGTCTATTGAAAATAAACAGATGTTTATTGAAACAGATGTCTATTGAAAATAAAAAGACAAGGCAATAAATGAAACGTACACAGGTTTTGATAAGAGTGTGTGTTTGCATATAAAATCATTGTAAGGGGTCAATCTTGATTTTGTCGTAGAATGAAACACAAAACATGAAGAGAATCATTAACACTGAAGACAAAACGTTTATGTTTGTTTAACCACGCAGTCGTGTTTAAATAGTGCAAGCAAGTTGTGGGTCAACGCGGATAAAGAGTAGCATACATGTGAACCGCACTGTCCGACTGCTAATGTGTTACACTGTAAACCAGCTGGACGGGTCTAAAACACACCGAGGTCTACCTGATGGTTTGAAGAGAAGTCTTAACACCACTGACATGTTGGTGCTTGACAACAGCCATCGTGACACAATATCTGCTGCCTCTGCTTTTGAATTACACCATAAAACACACACGCGTTCAAACCAGCACACGTCTACGTGCTCGCTTTCACCTTCTACCTGTCAAAACCACACACAAATGTATTCAGAATGTGACACTCTTAAGGAGAAGTATTCTGATAAGAATTAAAATCTCTGTTGGTGAATGTGGGCAGAAAATATAACATTTGTAGATGTGTACAATAAAAAAGCATATTTGCTATGATTTTATCTCTTTTTTTAAACTGCCTGTGTGTTTTTAAATACGGGATGAATAGAGTTGATGAAGAGTACAAAGTAGCAAACCCAAAAAAACTAAACGTTGTAAAATACTGTATAGGCAATTCAACTCAGTAAACTAGCGTCTTGCCGAGTTCACACTTTTCCCCAATTGTGGTAAAGCTCAAAACAGTTTAGAACTGCAAACAAAGAGCCTGTTGCACTTGCATATGCCGTTTGCAATGAGGTCGGTTTGACCCAGGTCAGCTGCCCAAACTGAGGAAATGAAGGCAGAATAGATTATGAAATGGAGCGACTACAAATATCTGCAGTGTTCAAATATAACAAACAATGGAGTAGATATGCAGAGCAAATAAGAAGGCGCCGGGTGTTCACCCAAATATGCATCGTCCCGTACTGACCCAAACGACCACCTTCACTTATTCGTGATGATCTTACTCGATATGCATCCCCGTAATGAGAGATGGCTGCCAGCACTGGTTATCCAATGGGAATCAATACTAGTCTGTAACTCTGTGATCTGCACTTGTGATTGAGTTCATCCAGCTCCCTCCAGTGCTAAACACTCAGTAGAAACATTGTCTAAAGTAACCTTATATTTGTTGTGGAAATAAAATCCTTGCGTTTCCTCTTGCCTAATGCAACCCCATTGCTTTCACACATCAATGTCTGTTTGAGAGTCTCGTCGAGTGCTACTGCAAATGTGAAAATCTTTTTTTAAAGCCTCTTATGTCTTCAGAAAGAAGCGCGATAAATCTGATTAATGGTGTTGAAGTTATTTTTGACTATAAAACGTAATCTGGAAGCACAGAGTAAAGAGGCTGCAGCCAACTCCTCCTCAAGTTTGAGCCACATCAGCCGCTGGCAGCAAAACGCAGCTGAAAGTCCCACCGAACGGTCCGCAGTTAACGTTAAATTGTGGGTACTGTGGGCCAAAGATTTAAACAAGAAGCAAAACAACCCAATGAGAATTGGCATTATGAGTTGTAATGGCCGAGTGGGAGCAGTGCAGCGCAGTTAGCGGTGAGCTAACGGCGCAGCGCGCTAACAGGAACCAACGGACACTGGAAGCAAACGCAGCTGGCCGCCCGTGTCAAGGAGGCAAAGGTAAACTGGGGTTTAAATACATTCCTTTACATAAAAAATAGTTTGTGCTTCAATATTATTGAATGGTAAATAGGTGGTTTATTTAGAGGAGCTCGAACAGTGAACAAGTCAATTGTTAATTAGATAATTGAATGAGGGGCTGATTAAAAGTAGGCTTAGTCCAAAACTCCCAAGGGAAAACAAGAAATTGGAATGAACAATTTGCATCCACGAGTCAGCCTGAAACCGTTCCCACGCATTTTATTATTGCAGGGCAGCACCTGACCTCACAGGTCAGGCCTCTGCTGTCGGTTCTTCTATCACATGAATACACTAAATACTGAAAACCCGTCGTATTTGTTTAATCAAAAGAGGAAGCTCCGCTTTTCCTTTTCAAACTTCCTGATACGGTGACATGAGGCGCATGAATGATTCTGGACGGCCATGTTTTCACCTCAACACGCAACTTTCTCTGACTGAGGAAGGAAGATCGTCCGCACCCCGTCTCCCTTTGCTTCTTCTTCCGCTCCTTTCCGTTGGCAATCCTCCTCCCTACAATGCCTCGCTCTCCCCCGTCACTCCTGAGTTGCTTGAGGAAGCAATGAAACATGACACCATTGTGTATGTACATGTGCACAATGTCGTGCAGGCACAGCGCGCGCACACACCCACACTACACAAAGAGTAAAGTCAAGGACACTGCAGGTATTGAGCACTGCAGCTGCTCCTTAACTTCCACATCCTGATAGTGTTATTTACAATGTCACAGCTACAGAGGTACAAGAAGCTCCAGACAAACTTCTGGCACAGTGTGTGTGTGTGTGTTAGCGTTCCTCCTGTCACCTATGGTCACGTGGTTTAAAGCTGGCCTATTTTAGGGAGGTAGTGAGAGAGAGAGAGAGAGCACGAGTAAAGAGGCAGAGAGAGAAGTGTTTTATCATATCAGATCCCAGCTGCTGTACCTTCAGATTCAAATTTAGGAATAACAGCTTTGTCGGTCACCTTATGTGAATAAAGTTGTAACTATACTGAGAAACTGGAAACAGACCGAGAGGGAAATGAAGGAGAGAAAAGGTCGGTGTTTGATGCAGAATTTCGGGGAGGATGTGTGACATCATCAGGGAGCGACCTTAAAGGAACCGTGCAGCAGATGTTGATAGCACAGCTTTGGAATAAATATAAATATAACGAGGTCAGGATATTACAACGAGAAACAAGAATAAATAAGATTACACAAATGGGGTACAGACAGTATTTTACCTTCCGCTGACTCAGTTACACGGGATATGTAATGGCACATTTATTCCGAAAGTACTGGGAACTGTTGGGGTCTGAGCGACTGGAAAAGTTTAGTTACTGTGACACACAAACATGCCCACAAAACTGGCCTAGGCGGTTTTACACCAGAAGTTGCACAGCAGAGTTCTGAAAGACACACATTCATTGCGCTCAACTCACTTTTTTTCACCTTAAACATTTAAAATCATACTTTTTTCCTCTCGTATTCCATGTTGAACACACAAGTATTATTTAACCCAAACATGACAGGAACATGATGCTTTCTGACAATTTCTACCTTTCTTCCCTCTACTGATCTCATCATCGCCACACCTCTGAACGCCTACATCACGACCACAATGGCACACCTGTGAGTCATCGCTTACACACTCATGTGCTAGCAGACCCATGTGCAGCTTGACACGTCCCACTAAGCAAAGTCAATTTAAATCTCATAATGAAACAAAAGGTGAAATGACCACTGCACTTCACCCCCCTGACCCGCTTTCTGTTTCATTCACTTCCTCAAAGCGATGCATCATGGGACAGCGATGTTCTGATGTGCACTGAAGTGGAAAACTCCAGCCTTTCGGCGAGGTAACGATGATGACGGTGGGAGTAAACTCAATGACCTCTACCAACACATGTGCTCCTCTCCCCTCGACCCCGGCTTCCCTTCAGTGTCCCTTGGAAGGACGCGCGGTTCAAAACTGGATCCCGAAGAAGCAGAAGGCACTCACCTTTTTGACCTGATCATCCTTGAGTTCAGTGAAGTAATAGGCGAGTAGCTGGGCCGCAATCATCCTGATCCTTCCCCTCCACCTCACACGAACATGCAGACTCACCCACACACTCTCTCTGTCACACACACACGGCCACCCAGTTAGACAGGGGGGGGGGAATCCAAAATAAAAAAAGACAGAACAAAGTTACTCTGCTCTGGCTGAAGTCTGTACACACAATCTCTCACACTCGCACAGGATATTCAAAATATCCAGCAGAATCCTGAGTGGTTTAAAATAGACACCGCACTTCCTCGTGTGCTGCTAAGACTCTTCAGCTCTTCTGTCTCTGAGCATGTGAGTGAAGCCCAGGAAGCATGGAGTGAGGCAGCAAGTTTAGCTGC